GCTCCACAGGTCTCTAGCAAGGCACAGACCAGTCTGATTCTGAACACATTCTCTGGCGGATCCAGGGCGGACACGTTGGAGTGGTCGTTGGAGACTCCGAAGGTGATGAAGGAGTACAGCACGGTGAAGACGTCACGAGAATCCAGTAACTTGTAGTTGTATAGCTCTCCCAAGTATCTGACGGTAGCGATACGACGTTGATTGTATCTTGGGTGAGGGTCTTCTAGTGTTAGTCTGATTTCTTCCATAATGGTGTCGACAACTGCTGGGGCAACAACTTCCTGCCAAGCGGACAATTCTGCTGTGAGTCTTGCCAAAGCCCGTCTTGCACTGGCTCGTACCCTCCAGCCTCCAGCTAAATGCAGTATTGCAACCGTAGAAACTTCAGTATCCTCCCAATTCAGTTTCCTCATAAGCCTGAGAATCTTTTCCTCGTTAGTCTTTTGAAGATCTTCGTGAAGAATTTTTCTTATAAATTGATGCATAGGTGCCTCTTCTTCTTTTGGCTGCGCGGGCGCTTCGGGAGGACAGACGTAATAAAATGCATTTTCGATTTGTGTTACGTATCGCGAATCTAATGCTGATACCGTCTGAAATAGGTTTTATTCATTTGAAGTCTTAATACACAAGAATTACTAAAATGATTTTAATTTATTATTATTATTACTTTTTTATTTATTTTCGACTATGATTGATAAAAATTTCTTTCAAAAATCTACCAAATATAAGAAACATCAAACACATTAAACTTAGTATTTTAATGGAATATGTTTTATTTGCCGACATTCACCAAAACTATGAAGATTTTCACTATGATAAAATTATCAAAAATTCTGTTATATAAATAATAGAAATAAATTTGATACAACATTAAGAAAACTTAAACATACCTTCTTTCTCATCATCTGTTGTAAGTATATCATGGTCCGTTGATGAGTGTCTGAATTACAATATAAATATCTTCCACATGTTTCTAATAAATTGCAGGCCATTTCTATGTGATGATGTTTAAAATCGTGAAGAAGGACTTTTAAACAATATAATGCTTCCATCTTTGAGTATAGATTAAATTTGACAAGCTCCCCGATGAATCTTACAACTTTTATCTGGAAATAGTTTTAGTAACATAGTTTATTAAATCATAATGATTTAATAAATTCCTTATTATTATATTTTTTTTTAATTTGGTTTGTTGCATAGAATAAGAATATTATTAGTATTGTATTTGTGCACGCCGTCAGCACCTATTATCGAGGCCACATATTACTGTTACGTTTAATAGGTCGTGCCTTGTTTTAAGTATGGCTCTGTACGTACGGCTTTAAATAGGGAAGGGTAAATACACTATTTTATCTAATCTGATAAATTAGAATTGAACTTTCAGGTTCATATTGTTATTCGCTTCTAGGCAGCCGTTTCGACCATAGATAGCGCCTCGTCTTGGGTATACTTTTTCTTTCAAATAAATAGCTCAATATTATAATATTAATCTAAACTCTTTAGTTTACGAAATTCAGTACAAAATGCTTAAATGGCGCCAAAAATCTATGGCCACTTTGTATTTTCGCTACAGATATAGTAAAAATATGTAACATGTCATAAAAGGGCGCACTTATAGATTCGATTAAATGTCTTAATAATGCATTTCCATGTTTTTTTATTAATTATAATTTACTAAATTATGTATAAAATTGAATAAGTATAAAAGTTTGTTATTCGACGTTTTTAAGTAAAAACTTTCATACCGTGTCGCTTGTCTATAGAATTAGTATTTTGCTAAATATTTGTGTCTTGGTTTTCTAGAGAAAAGATATACCTACGTTATAAAGGTGGTCCGGTCAACAGATTTATCCTGGCTAATTCAATAATAACCATTCACGTTTCATTTTTACTTTATGTTTAGGTACAATATTGTTGAGGTATACTTTTTTAAACTTTTCTTTTTATAGACGTAAGAATTATAATAGAAACATAATTTACCTTTGATTCAATATTAATCTGATCCTTTTTTCTGACGTGGTATTTAAAATCTTGCTTTAACATTTGACACAAATCAACACAAACATCTGGAAGGACTGGATACAGTATTGCTGCAAATCTTGAGTAAAATGGTAATAAATCGAGTCGTGTCCTAGCAACACTGAACAGTACTCTTGTAAGTTTTTTTCTGTTGTTTTTTGTGTTCAAATTTAGAACAAAATCTACCGCTGCGTTGTCAATTAATTCTCGGTTAATGCAATTAGGCAGTTCATTGAGAAATGAATCTAGAGCGTATCTGAAAAAAATTGTACCATATACTTAAGTAAAAAGTTAAAAACAATGTCTAGTACTTATTGTGCAATAAGTAGTAGAATAAACTGTACTTTAACAGATTATTCTTTCTATTTGAAAACATTTCCCCTTCCATGCAAGGATACCAATCCAAAATTCGACGCTACGTGTTGTTTTGGATGGTTTGAAGTTATTGGGTATGATAAAATATTGAACATTAATTTCTCTATAAATTATAGCTGTCCTACATAAATTTATTTATCTATTAATGATAGAGAAGATTAAATAAATATTGACACATGAAATAGATAATAAGTTTGGGCCTTTGGTCAAATGTTTTTCCATTTAATGGCTACATTATCTTATAAATTTCACGACACACGGCATTATTTATACTGGCAACATAAATGCGTACCGTTAGAAGGCTATGTTATATCAATTCCTTACACACAGTGAATTAATGAATCAAGAATTCATTAATCATTTACTAACAAAAATGATTCATTGAACAGAAATTGAAAGAATTTCACTTACTTATTAGATACATTAGAAGGCTGTGCCTCCTCCTGATCTACATCAGGCACAGATGGTTCCTCGCTGTCACTAAGCTCGTCTTCTTTAAGGTCTTCATCTAACATTTCTTCAGTCACTGTTTCGGTTTTGTTTTTAAGAGTCTGAAATTAAGTAGTAATAATGATTTAGTATTGCAACAAATTGAACTAAATAAACAAGAGGTTTTTAAATGTCAATTACCTATTGCAGATTAATATTAAATCATTTTAAGCAGATGTATACTTAACTAGTATCTTGTTAAAGTTGTTTTTTATTTTTATTATTAGTCACTTTCTCTACTTTCAAAATATCTTTATTACTTATACTTAAAATAACAAAAACTTTAAAATTTTGTTTATTCAGTATTCTAGTTTACATACTTCTTTTAATTGATAATTTGGCATAAACACTTTCAAGTCAGGCATGTTTGTATAGAATGTTCTTGTATCCTCATCCTGCCATGGATCTGTGGCTGCTTGCATTGTGTACTCTTCATTACCCCCAATAGTGACTGTCCCTTGTGTTTCAATAACATTTAATGTCAGAGTAGGTGGCTCACCGGCCTCACCAAGTTCCTCGCCTAGTACTTCAGCAAAGTTCTGAGCACCAGTTAGTAATTTGTCATATGTTGCCTGTAAAAAATAAAACATGTAAATACATAATAAGCATGTTAGAGTTTGCAGAAAGAGACAGTTATAAACTATTATAATTCTGAATTGCATTGTTACATTTATTATTAATTATTTCAAATTTATTTAATTTACCACACATGTGAATTTACACTACCTACATACATAGGTTAAATGATAAGATTATAGAGCAACATAAGGATCATATTCACAAATACCTGATGTTGTTCCAATTGATCTTTTCTTTCCTGAGATAGTTCACCACGAGTGTGTAAAGTCCTCTGATTTGCAACATGAAGTGCTTGTAATTGTGCTCTTTCTGCTAGAAGGTGCTTAACAAGTGATGCAAAATAATCTTTTAACAATGATCGGACTGCTGTTTGCTTTTCTGCAGGTAGAAACGTATTTCTTGGAACTGTTACATTTAGCTTCTGCAAATATAAAACTGATTAATAATTGCACTATAGGTTAGTATTTAAATCCAATCTTGATTTTGATTACTGAAAAAACACTTAAGTCTCTTTACCTCAGCAGCATCTTTGATTTTCTTTGGGATCAAACCAGCATAATCTTCACCACAATGTTTACAAAATGATAATAATATTGGTATATTATTATGATCTTCTTTATCCATGTTAATAAGAACGGTAAGAACATTTCCTAGTAGCGGTAATCCAGTTTTATTTGTAAAAATTCCAACACATACCAACTCAGCGTAAAATCTTAAGTCAACACGCAATTTTGAAGAATTAGCTATTTTGTCAGTAGCCTTAAATGAAAGAATTTTTTGCCAGTTTTCAAAGAAAAACGGCGAGAACTCAGTGTATGTCCGATGTAGTGCAGAACACAAGTTTATTGCAGGAGCTATATCAGACATTTTTAGTTTTGCCTCAGCAAGAGCTGCTGCTACTTCTGATATATATTTAGTGAGGTTAAGTGCACTTAAGTCTTTCATCAAAATATCTAATTGAGACGCACTGAATGATTTTAATTTCTTAACAAATGTCGTATTTTTCTTTAGTCCAGAATCCAATTTAGAGAAATGATTATCTGGGGGTCTTACACAGTTGAGATTTTGATTTCTCATATCAGATTTACTACTAATTCTAGCTTCAAGTTGGGTGATATATTCTGATAGGGCCATTCGGTCATTGTCTTCAGTATTCTCTGGAGGCTCACCTCCAGTACTATCAGTTTTGCCTTCTGCATCTTTCTCACTTGTAGTCATGATCTAAAACTATATTATAATAAATGTTTAACAATGTGTTGTTTATTGAATTATATAGAATTATAAATTATAGTTTTTTAAGTACCTACCATTCGCGACACGATAATCTAAATTCTAGATTCCAGAATCTCCAGACTCCAATTACAAATGACAAAAAGTAAACACGATTTCAAAGTTGTCAACTGTCAGTTCGAAAGTGACAAAGTAAACAAATAAAATATAAAAGTTAAAAAATCAAAACATTAAAATTTAAAGTTCGCTCTTCCACTGGGCACTTATATATTTTGTTTGATAACCTATTCTTAAACGAAATATTTAAAATGTGCGGTATTTTGTGTGAAATCTTATTTCATCCCAGTAGCAGTATTACCAAAGTAATTTTTGTATATAAATAAAAAAAATTAAAATCTACAACCACAAAATTTTACAGGAATGTTTGTTTAAGGATGAAGAATTAATAAAACGTCTTAAAAACAGAGGTCCTAATTGTGTCCAATTGTGTTCTACTCAAGTCAGCGAAGATATAACACTGTTTTTCTGTGGTGCTGTTTTATGGACTCAAGGACCTAACCTCACCAAACAACCTTTGCAAGATGATAAAGGTGTCCTTCTTTTTAATGGCGATATATTTGACCTCGGGTGGAATAAAAATTATAGTGATACGCAGATAATAATACAAAAGTTTACAGAAGTATGTAAGATTAGAATTTATACATGTGAAGTAGATACTCTATTAACATGTAACATCATACCTTACCTATTGTTTTTTTTATTTTTAGTGTTTATCAGACAATGACATCATAAATGTGATAAAGTTACTAAAAGGTCCTTTTTGTATTGTATATTATGATAAATTACTAAAAACTATATATTTCTCGAGGGACAGGATTGGTCGAGGAAGCTTATTGTTGCATAAATCGGAACAATCCATAACTATAAGTAGTGTATTAGGTAAGAAGAGGTAATATGATTTTTCATTGCATTATTACAATATCTATAAAGGTTTTTTTCCAGGTAGAAAGTACCCATGTGTAGAAATACCATCACTAAATATTCATAAATTAAATATAGAATCCCAAGAAATATCAACATTCAATTGGCATAATGAAGATTCCAGAACCTTCTCCGTTGATAACTGGTATAGCACAATTCAAATACACCAAACTTTACCTGATGAACAGTTTAGATTTGAAGATGACATCTTAGAAGATCTTAATGATGAGGTAAGAGATTGTATCATCAATTTATCCACATAGAAAGAAGCATGTTTTTTACTTATAAATTGGTTCTACTTCCAACAATGCATATAATATTTGGAACAAGACTTATTCCAAGCAGAATATATTATAATATAATTTTTATATTTTTATTAATTTTTGATTTTTAGGATGGAGTAATTGATTATATCAATCAAATCTCTAAAAACTACACATGTAAGCAAACAATTTTGAAGGAAATTTTGAAACAAGAAATTATTTTAAAGATGGTGCAATCAATATTGCTTTTATTAGAGCAAAGTGTAAAAATTAGATTAGAAACACACCCAAATAAATGTAAACAGTGCCTGAATACTGTTAATGAGTGCTGCCATAGCACGGTTGGTATTTTGTTTTCTGGGGGATTGGATTGTACTATTTTAGCATACTTAGCAGATAAATATGTACCAGTAAACCAACCTATTGACCTGATTAATGTTGCCTTTAAAACTGAAAATGGTACTTATGATGTTCCCGATAGAGTTACTGGCAGACAATCATATAATGAACTTAAACAAAAATGTTGCTCTAGGTAAGGTGATCAATTTACCATAATTACTTGAAGAGCAATAGAAGTCAAATATATATAGGTACCAATAGAGGAGAATATCAAAATAATCATTATTTTTGTTAAATAGGAAAAGTAGGTTGGCTGTTACTTTTCCTATTTAATTGGAAATATAAAATACTATTAACCTCATCCTCAATATTTTTATTGCAGAAGATGGGTATTCCATGAAGTTAATGTTGAAAAGAAAGACTTAGAAATATCCCAATCTCATATAATAGCTGACCTTGTGTATCCCAGAAGAACTATACTAGATGAAAGTTTAGGGACAGCACTGTGGTACGCAGCATGGGGTATGGGCCACACTGTGTCTCCATGTAGAGTAAGATTATTTATCCTTAATAGATAAATATATTTCTATATGTAGTTTTAAAAAAGCCATTCCTCCTAAAAAAATGTATACATACATTATCCTGATTTTAAATTTTAGGTTCTTTTACTTGGATCAGGAGCAGATGAGTTATTTGGAGGATATACTAGACATCGTAATGCATATAAGCGCCAAGGGTGGTCTGGCTTAAGAAAAGAAATGATGCTTGATTGGAGCAGAATATCTTACAGGAACCTTGCGAGGGACAATAGAGTTATATGTGACCATGGTAGAATACCAAGATTGCCATATTTAGATGAGGAATTCTCTTCTTTTATTTTAAAATTGAAACCTTGGTTTAAGTAAGTATATTCTAAAAGTATAAAAAGTGTGTATAGGTTTTGGGTCACTGTTTATCGCTGAATTAGTCTTGAAATTTTACAAAAATTCATACAAACAACACACTGAAAGGATTTGCTATTATAAGTCATTGTTAATAGATTAATGTAATAAGGTTTATTATTGTAGGTGTTTTCCTAGTGACCAATTAGGAATGGGTGTAGGAGATAAATTAATGCTGAGATTACTAGCAATGCACCTCGGATTAATAGATGTCGCTATATTACCAAAACGGGCTCTTCAATTTGGAACAAGGATTGCAAATAAGAAACAAAAGGGAAATGATATTTCAAAACATTTACAATAAATTTATGAAATCTATATTCGTTTTTCATTATTGTTCCTTTAGTGGCATCTATTAATTAGCTTTTTATAATCTGCGGTGAGGAAGGACAAAGTAAGATTGACTGTGGAACTTAGTAAGTAATCTAATATATAAAATTCTCGTGTCGCGGTGTTTGTAGTTAAACTCCTCCGAAACAGCTTGACCTATTCTCATGAAATTTTGTGTGCATTTTGGGTATGTCTGAGAATCGGACAACATCTATTTTTCATCCCCTTAAATGTTAATGGTAGTCCACCTCTAAATATTTGTTTTTTTTTTATACAGCATTAAAAAATACATATAAACCCCTGATTTGCACCCAACAGGGGGGCAACCCTGTTATATAAAAAAGAAACAAAAGTAATAACGCTTAATACGTTACGGTTTAAATTTCCAACCTTATTTCGCAGTTAATGAAATAGCTGTTGTTTTAATAATTTTTTACATGACTATTGTAACAATATAGTCGAAATTCGCATATAAATTGTTAACACGTTGAACGCCATGGGGGTCACCGGTGACCTCATCATTCCTCTATCATAGCGCCATGGGGGTCACCGGTGGCCTCAAGCTAAAGACATATTCAAACCGTTTTTTCTCGCCGTCTGCCATACCCACTGTTGATTTTAAAGTACTATGTGACCGGCACTGCGCCGTAGAACAATACTTCGCATTGGGACAAATGTACCTAGATAATACTTAAAAAAATCGAAAGATTTTAAAAAAGAAGCAAAAATAAAACTTCGTTCCAAAAATGTTGGATATTTAACTCAATTCAGTCTTTATTTTTTAAACAAAAATTAGCAGAAAGTATGGTGTGTTGTGAAAAATAAAATTTATCTTTAGAAAAACTAGGAAATTGCAGTGTAAAAAAGTTCGGAAAATCCAGAAGTGCACGCCTTACAACAACCCAACCCTTATAGTACGGGAGGTATAGGTCGGTTATCGAAAGCTGGCGGGTTCACAGAACTCACACTAATGCAATTTCACATACAGTATGTTTCAAAATATGATTTTTTTGCCAAGCTATATATTTTAGTCCACTCTGGTTTTAGTAAGGTTGGGTGGGTTGTAAATAAATAAAAATGTGTCAAATACATATAAATATTAGGTGCATACGAGGGTGGATCCAAAAGTTCTAAGCCAGACCAAGAACGTGAAAGAGTAGTTCGTGTAAATAATTTTTCATTTTTCGACATACGCTCCATCTAGCCATGACTTTGTTGGTCGACAAAACGACCTTAGCCGTTTTCGGAGTAGGTGATCCAGATATTTTCCATTGTTTGGACTGTTGCTTTGATTCAGGAGTATGGTGGTGAACCCAGCTTTCAACAAATCAAAAAAAAAAAACAAATCAGCTTTCAGCTTTCTGCATCTGATGTCAAATGAAATATGAAATTTTTTTCATTAAACTGTTTTTATTAAGATGCTTAAAATAATTAAAAACATTGTGCACCATTTCACGAGATTGCCTTGGTAACGCCTTTAGTACACCTACGCGTTCGTATGCGGCTGCGAATCTTTGCGAAATAATTGCGGTAGCGAAATATCTGCGGAACGTTAGTACACTGCAGGTTTTTCGCAAGGATATGTCATTGTAGCTTTCGTGGGCTGTTGGTGCAGATGTCGTTTCAGAATGTCATCTCAGTCGTCCCAGTCGTCGCTTTCAGATTCTGAAGAGGATTTTGTAATCAACATGCCCAACTAAATATAATTCGGGATAATTTCGAATCAAATTTAATAATAATTCAATATTTTCGGCTTCCATTGTGCGAAATTCTGTCCTCACTGACAGAACGCGTGGTGACGCATTGCGATGCGAAACTCCGCTAGCGAAACGGCTGCGTCTGTGTAACAGCCATTTCGCAGTTACTTGCGAAACAATACCGACAAGGACGCAACTATTTCATCTAGCTATATAATAGAGCGAGACAAAACACATGCGAAATGTTGCCATACAACTTACAGTTTTTTCGTCGTTTCGCTGCCGCATGCGATTGCGTAGGTGTACTAAAGGCGTAATGTTTGAAAAAATATCAACATGTATAGTAAAGATCAACATAAACAGTAGCAAAAGCAAAACAATAACTGTCTCTTTTATACTCATAAGCTTGACCGAGCGCGAGAGAGACGGACAGTCTTTTCATGATGTATTTGTGATTGTATTTCAGTTTGACATCACGTCTCGCGCTTATTCACGAGTAAATGTTCGGTAAATGTGTTGAAGCCGCCAGCTTTAAATAACATACCTTTTTTTATAGCAACGTTTTCGAGAAAGAATTTCAGGTTCAGGCAAATTCATTTGTAGTTTTTCTTATATTTAAATAACATAATATTAAAATTACAGACATTCTAAAATACTTTGAAATTTTTATAAAAAAAAAAAACTTAAAATCGCGTCTGGCACATAGTTAGCAATGTGAAAAATGTCTGGCAATAAAAAAAGTATGTCAGGTAGACTTATTTAAAACGAAAAATTAAAAATTACGCTTCTTAAAATGCTTTTAAAATCCAGGATTATTACCTGGACAGATAGGATGCGCACTAATGAACGCAACCGCTACCGCCAGCCAGATTGCCCAGACTCTAACCGAAAGTGCAAGAAGGAAGACATATCACAAAATCAGCTGACCTAAAATTCTTTCTTTTCAAACGTTGCTACCTCCCGTACTATTAGAAATATTAATATTTAGCCTTAATTTTGTCAAATAATACAGTAAAAGTTGATGACAAAAGATGTCAGAAAGAAAAACAATAACAAAACATGCACACAGAGTTCACAATTATGTCAACCTAAGCCCAAACCGTTTTACGGTCATTTTACGATGATTACGATTTTTTTTAAACCGCCCATTTTACGGTTCTCTGCAATGCCGAAGAATAGGCACCTATTTGGTCACTCATATCTACAGACCCTTCGGATTTATTATGATCCAATATGATCTTCGGCTTCCGAATCTGTTTGCCTTTTTACTCTACCACAGCAAATTTGTCGAAAGCAAAAGCACGTCCCTCTTATCCTTCCATTTTAACACCGTTACTCCGTCTTCATTCTCCACAATCATTATTTTACCTTTCTACAGTTCTGAATTCTAGAACAGCCTAACCCTCTTGTTTTTTCGCAAAGTGCCAATTAAAAGGGTTTGTTTCTCCAATAACCTAGTTCTAAGCTTGTATACCAGTTGTCAGTTGCAAGTAAGTATAACCTAACGTCTTTTTATTTTCGGTATTAGCATCTGTTCGCTATCTGATTCTGAGTGGCAATCATTGTTTCTCAAAGGGTTTGTTGTAAAATAATATGCTAACGCGTAGATTTGTTGCAATTCATTCTGTGTAAATTTTAATTCCTCCATAGCTAAGCCAATACCTAAGGATCTCGTACATTATTAACGCAACCTAAGTTAAGTTCGTTATGTAGCGAAAACAAATTTAGTAGGAAACTTATAGAAAGAGCAAAGCAGAGGCAATCGTCGTAAGCGCGAGCGCACTAACAGGTCTAACACTGTCGAAGTGAATAGCGGGTGGCCGGCGGGGTGGGCGGCACGGCGCAGGGTAACGGAAAATGTCTTTTCTGTATTTGTGCGCCATGGGGTGCACCGGTGACCTCAGTTATATATTTGGCTGTAACTATGTAACCCATGGGCAGAATTTAATAAAACTATTATCATTTATTATTATAATAAACAAATTACAGCAAAAAAGTTTTTTTACGATTTTTATTTTTTTCTATTGGCGTTTAACGTGTTAAATGTTGACACCAGCAAAATAGCTTGTACATATTATAAAAAAGCAACACTCTAGAGTCTAGTGTGTATTGTGGACTTCCTTTGGCGGGAAAAGGAGAGCCGCGTTTTTCAAATAAAATTTTGTTTTATTTTAAATTAAATTGTCTTTTTCAAGACAGAGTGCTTTTGGAGGAGAATAATGTCTTCAGAGAGTGATGGTGATAAGACGGGTCTACAAAGTCACCCGTAGACTCGAAAAAGAGGCGTATAGATAACTCTGTAAAATCGAACGATGTCGATAAGTATAAACCTTACTCTAAACCCGAGTATAAGCGATCCTACCCGGATAATAATAACATAGAAGAGTTTCCCGTTTACGTACAGGGAATTAAAATGGAAGATAAGATAGGTAATAAAAATCCTTTGCATTTATCAAAAATATTCAAAAACGTGAAGGGCATTAAGGAATGTCGTCGAGTTAATGCGGCCAAAATTATGCTGGTTTTCAAACAAGCTGCAGCTGCTATGTTTTCTGAGTCACGTTAGCTTACGTGACAATAATATGAAAGCTTTTGTACCAGCCTCTTCGGTGGAGCAGTGGGTAAAATTCGTTTTATCCCTAAAGAATGCAGTAACGCGGATTTATACCACAAACTAATGGCTGACTCTGAAATTGTTGGTGTTAGACGTTTTATGAAAAAGAACTTGTGATGGTCTGGAACCTCTTACTACTATAAGCGTTACCTTTGTAGGAACTGTTCTCCCTCAGTATGTTTATTTAGACAACTGGCGTTACAAAGTTTTCACTTATATTCCTCCTCTCATGCAATGTTTTAAATGCATGAAATTTAGACACAGTGCCAAAGTATGTAGAAACAATCAGGTTTGTTCAAAGTGTTCAGGTGGTCATTCCTATAAGGAATGCTCAGCTGAATTTTTAAAGTGTGTTAACTGTGGAGGAGACCACTTGGCAGTATCAGGTTTTGTCCTCAAAAAAGCAGCTCAGATTAAAAAACATGAAAATAATTATTCATCTAAAATGTATTCAACTGTATTATTGTCAAGTGATTTTCCTCCGTTACCTAGTGATAAATCAGTTGTAAAGTTGGCTCACAATAAATTAGCTTCACCTACTGTCCAACCTAAGAAAAAAAAAGTTATCACAAAATTCATCAGATAGTTCAATTCCAGTCCAGTCTGCTCCTCTAATAGTGGTTCCTATGATCAGCTCATTAAAGATGATCAGTTCTTGAAATAAAATTATCAAAACTTTAGTTATGTTAGGCAATTCTAATACAGCAAACACAACTGCACACATTAAGGATATATTAATACAAAACTTAACAAAATAATGGATTATTTACGATTAATGCAACATAACATACAGAGTATCAATAATAAAAAACCACTTCTTAAATCTTTATTATATGATAATAAAATAGATGTGTGCTTGCTAAATGAAACTTGGTTAAAAGATTCTGGTCTGCCTTTTTATATACCTGGTTATATATTTGTTGGAAAAAAATGCTAAAAATGAGCATGGAGGTGTAGGTATTTTAATAAAAAATGATATTAAATTTAAGGTCTTAAAAACTACTTTCTATCAAAATATTCAATTATACTATTCTATAATAACAGGATGTGGTCCTGTCTCAGTGCTCTGTGTCTACTGTCCACCAAATAATACTCAATTAGTTTGATTAATTTGAGAAAGATTATTTTGCAATTACCCAAGCCTTGTCTTGTATCTGGTGATTTTAATGCTCACAATATAGCTTTTGGTTGTGATACTACCAATTCAAGAGGTCGTGAATTATTTGATATATTTGATGATGCTGATTTATGTATTTTAAATTCTGGTGACCCTACTACTATTTCTAGACCTGGTAATAATGCTCAGCCATTGATGTTACTTGTGTTAGCCCTGATATTGCACCACTTTGTAGTGGTATTCGGTGATGACTCTTTAGGGAGCTATCATTTACCTACTTTGTTAACATCATTACCTCAACTCAAAAATATACAGTACAAGAGTCATACAAGTATTTTATAATAAAACAAACTGGAATATGTACAATGATAAATCCAAAGATATATTTGATAAATTTTCTCCTTCAACAATTGATCCTTTAGTTCAATATGATGAATTTTCTAAATTACTACTTAGTTTAAAAGAAAACTGTGTTCCATTGTTAAAGCATAAATCTTCTATAAAAAGTCTGCTCCTCCAGCTCCTTGGTGGAATGATACTTGTGCCGAGGCTGTAACCAAATCAAGAGAAGCGTTACTAATTATAACGTAATATGACAATGGACAATTATATAGAATATAAGAAAATAGATTCGAGGAAAAAAAATTATTATAAAAATGGCTAAGAAAGACAGTTGGAAAAGTCTTTGTTCGTCTTTTAATAGATTCACTCCAGTATCCCGAGTGTGGAATTTTATTAGAAGATTTAAGAGAATTAACATTAATAGAAATGTGTCCAAAAATGATGAGTGGATAGCAAGTTTTTAGAGAAGTTAGGGCAATCTAGTAATAACAACATAATATTTCTGGTTTATTCGAATTTAATGATGGAAGTCAGTGGAGCAAGTTTCTACTTAACTCTTTTTGTTTTGAAGAACTTGACATGGCTTTGTCTTCAAGAAAGAATACAACTCCTGGTCTTGACGATATTCCTTATATTATGCTTCAAAATCTACATGTTTCTGTAAAACATATTCTACTTAATATTTTAAATTCGCTTTGGTCTCAGCAATTGATTCCAGAATCCTGGAGGTTGCAATGTGTCATACCAGTGTTAAAACCTGACAAACCCAATGATCATTTTAATTCGTACAGACCCATTTCTCTTACATCTTGTGTAGGGAAATTGTTTGAGCAAATGATTAAGATTAGACTGGACTATTTTGTTGAAAACCAGAAACTTATTCCTTCTTGTCAGTTTGGATTCAGAAAAGGCAAAAGTGCAGCAGAAAGTTTTATAGCTTACCTGACTGATATGAAGAAGTGTTTGTTATCAGGGTTCTACTCAATTTGTGTTTTCCTTGATGTTCAGGGGGCATATGATAATGTAGATCTTCACCAATTAATTAAGGTGCTATATTCTTTGGGCTTCCCAGGAAAGCTTTTAAAATGGATTTTCCATATGTATTATGGTCGTTCTTTATACATTAAATACAATAATGTTTTTCATGGTCCAAAATTAGCATTCAAGGGGTTGATGCAAGGGTCTCTTATCTCCAATCCTGTATAACCTTTATACTTCACAAATATATACATATGTGACTGAATCTGTAAAAAATATTACAATTTGCTGATGACTCTTAATAATAGTGTAGGCAGTAATTTACAGGTTACTCAAGCAAAAGTTAATTCAGCTTTATGTCAACTTAACTACTATTATACTGAGATACTTAAATTAAATATAAATAGTAGTAAAAGTTCAGTTTTAGCTTATGGTATTGATACTAATGTAAATGTTAAGTATAACAATAATTTAATCCCTCAAAATAGCGAAAAAAAGTTTCTTGGTGTAATTTTTGACACTAAATTAAAGTTTACCAAACACTTGACTATTTGTAGTAGAGCTTTGAAAGGTATCAATATTTTGCGGTCCTTACAGGAACTTTGGGGTTCTGATCCAAAAATTCTTTGTTTTTATATAAAAGCTTAGTACGTAGTCATTTTGATTATAGTTGTCTGGCATATATGAATATTAGTCCTGTATTATTAAAAAAGCTTGATGTTATCCAAAATATTGCTCTTAGAATTGTTACTGGTGCAATGCGTACCACTCCTATCAATTCTATGGAGGTTGAGTCATTGTAGAACCACTATGTATTCGGCGAGTATTAATTGCTGAAAAATTTTGCCTGAAAGTGATAACTTCTCAGAATGATGTTCTTCTACCAAAACTTTCTTATTCTATAACTATCACTAATACACCAGATTTGCCTTCAAGTATAACAGCGACTAATGTTCTCAATAACCAGATCCCTGAATTATTGGGAATTATGAGCTTGACTGATTTATCTGATAATATGTACAAATCTGAACTATGGCCTGTATATCTCTGTAAATATAAAGCTCTTATGTGTAAATTAAATATAGATATGTCCAGTGTAGTAGATAATATAGACTTTCTGGATTATTGCTGTACCAAGCCTAACAGTTACAAAGTCTACACTGATGGGTCTAAATCTTCATCTCAGTGAAATCGGGTTACTATGATCCTCAGGCTAAAACCTCAAAATGTTTTATGTTAAGTAATACTTGCAGCATATTTACACTGAAGCTTATGCTATCTATCAAGTTGTTTGTACTACAAAGTTTACAAAATAACGATAACTACATGGAGTTCCTAATAATTTCAGATTCAAAAAGTGTGTTAATGGCTTTAGACAAATGTCATACTTATTATAGAAATAATTATTTATTGTATAAAATTAAGAGAAGCATTGATATCTTTGGATACTCCAGTAACATTTAAATGGGTGCCCTCTCTAGGGGTATCAAGGGAAATGATATTGTAGATGGTATCGTCAATTCTAATTATGATGAGGATCATAGTATTACATGCAGAGTTCCTTTTACGGATTTTCTTTTCGACTTAAAACAAAGAAGTCGCAAGTTATGGGAAAGCTATTGGAAATTATCCTCACAGCATAAAGGTAGTTGGTATGCAGAGATCCAAAAGGAACTCCCATGTAAACCTTGGTATGATAAATACAAAGGAGCCAATGAACGTAAATTTATAACCATTATTAATCGTTTGAGGTTTGGCCACTGTCAGACTCCAAGCCATTTATTTCGTTTTAAAATTATAAATAATAACAGATGTACATACTGTGGAGGAAATGAGGCCGACTTATCCCACCTCATCTTGAGTTGCCCGACCTTTAAATTTCAACGATTAATACTAGTAACGGATATTATGAAGTTGATGGATTTTGATGAGAATAATCGGACTAAACTTGGAAATTCTTTAGCAAATAACCCGACAAGATCAGTTTTAGACTCATCAGTCACTGCAAATGGTAGTCATCAATGTCAACCATCACAAATAGAAATTCCCCGCCGTGTCCAAGATTTACTGAAATGTCCAGTTCTATTCAAAGCTATTTACTATTATATAAAAACACAGTTGAGAAAATTTAAAGCTCACCATTGTTTATATTGATTGTATTTTATGTTAAGTTAGTATAGTTATTTGTGTAAGATATTTTGTTATACCTTTTTTTAAAGTGCCAATGGACTTTGTATCGGCTAATAAATAAATTAAAAAAAAAATAGTGTATTGTCAGGAATGACTTTTCGAACTTTGACATTTGTATCCTCTTGAAAGTTCAAATTTCAAAACTTCACACTTGATCAAAAATACATGGAAAATGGCTGCGAACCGTCGCAAGCAGGACGACAAAAATTTAGAAATTTTACGTGAGCTAATTTCGCAAAATGGAAACAAATATTGTTTAGATTGTAATCAAAGAGGGCCTACTTATGTTAATACAACGATAGGTTCTTTCGTGTGCTCAAAATGTTCGGGAATGTTGTAAGTATTGTTTTCTACGTAATGCAGTTAAATTAGAATAACAAACAAACTGACCGAGTTATTTTTCAGGCGTGGTCTCACTCCACCACATCGCGTAAAGTCAATTTCCATGGCTACTTTTACTCCAGAAGAAATAGAGTTTATAAGAGTCAGAGGAAATGACTACTGCAGGCGTGTTTGGCTAGGCCTGTATGAGGGTGAAAGTGTGAACTATACCGACGAACAACGCGTCCGAGATTTCATGTCTGATAAATATGAAAAGAAGCAATATTATCTAGAATCAGCGCCAAACAATATGCCCATTGTAAACGGTACTTCGTCACAAAAAAATAAAAATAAACAGAAATCGGTCAGTGCAACTATTACTGCGCCATTGATCGCGATTTCACCGATCTCTAAAAATTCACTCAACAACAATACCGTGAATTTAACCAAAGTAATATCCGCCACAGCTGTTCAAGAAACAAATCATAAGATAGCTAGGCCTGTTAATAATCTCGCGCCCCCTTTGTTTAACGGCAATAACGCTGCACCTGTCGCCCCTATAGCTCCTGTAGTACCTGAGTGAGTATTTTTAATACCTCATATTATATATAGACTTATTGATATAATCTTAAAAATTCATAATCATAATTAGCAACAATTATGAATATAAAGAGATACTTTTAGATAAAATATTCAGCTGATAGATAAAACAATTATGTGTGTTAAAGTTAACGAAATATTCGTTGCAGTTTTCCTGTAGATTTTTCGACGGCAAATATATACAACAGTGCTCAAAACTATAACACTGTCTCCAATAGTGTTAACAACAACAATACAAGTCGATCTTCAACTACAAGCACATCAGCGTTTAATTCAACAAATTCTGCTACAAGTAAGTTAAACATTACATACAAGGTATAATTTTGATAATTAAAGGGGGTACCCTTTTAATTATATTTTTATTTTTATGTGTTAGTCATAGTTTTTATCTATTTGGGGAAAATGATATCTATTGACTCATTCTTAAATTGATAACAGTAATTTTAACAGCGTTAAAATAATATACTTGTAGGGTTTTTCCAATTTTTTATTGAATCACAAATAACAGAATGAATTTGCCATATTTTAGAATTAAGAATAAAATAATGACAAACTTTTGATAAAGCCTTGTATAAGTTGAAAATTTTAACAACAATTACTTTAAATATAATCCTCATACTTAATTTATTATATAATACCATCCTTACATCCTTTTTTTTTGTGAATTTGCTACCCCCATTTAGTAAAACTATGTATATATAACTACTTACTGAAAACATATCTGTGGCATTTTATGTAAAACAAGCTTCCGTTTTCACATAGCTATCATAATCCTAGATATTGCAACGCAGCTTTCATATAGTGATATAATTAAATAACTATTAAATTATTTTGCGTTGGAAATGATTTGTACAGCAGATACAAATCAGTGTGTTTAATGCACTGTAAGAATGCTGGATGTCTTGTAATTCCTGTAATGTAATTATTGTGTCATCTGTAATGAATTTAAGCTTGTTTTAAGTAAGTTATTGGCTATAGTTAATGAATATATGACTGCTTAACATAGACCTACATTATTGTATTATAAACCACATAAATCAGATTGTTTCAAATAAAAATTCATTATTTGTTTGCTAACAAATGCTGTAACATTTAGCCTAGTTATTTATAATAAAATTTGATTAGTGTAGTGAGAATTACGTCTATGTTATCTTTATCTTTGGTAGACAACATACATACTCATTATAAAGTGTGACCTGTGTCTCTTTGGGTCAATTGTATTGCGGTGTAGGTTCGTCACATACATTTTATTTGAAATATTGTTGTATAGAAAAAAAATACAGACAGAATTGTAATGAGGTACATTTAAATGCAATGAATCATTTTAAAGTGACAGGATCTAGGTGAAAGTAAATGCTATTATGTATTTACAATTTTACTGTTTTTAACAAATTTGAGATATAAGCAGAGAATTAAAATAATAATGCTTTTTACAATATCAATAAGTGTTTGGTCCACCATAGAAACATATTTCAATTTATATACAAACTAAAAAGAAAGCTGTAATAAGATGTGAATAAATATTTATCTAACATTGTAAGTGAAACAGGCCGATTAACCTTGTACTATGCATAATATCATTTCCCTATTATTGTTATAACAAATGATTAATAAAATTATATTTACAGATGATCGCTATGCGGCTCTAGCAGACCTCGACTTAGTATTTAGACAACAAAAAACTATGGGTAAGTGGGTTTAATAGGGTATATTTAAATACTGTAGTGGCTATACGCCAGCTTAGGTATTTTTTCATATATAATTAAAGCGAATAGACGGCGCGTTTCGCCTTAGCAGGCACAAACATAATGCACTGTCGTTTTGTTTGTCTGTTAAACAAAACAAAACTTTTGCTTGCACTTATTGTGACTGTGGCCAACTTAGGTGTTGGCCACAGTCACAATAAGTGACAGTCCCAATCTAGATATCCCGGGATTTTAGGGATACATTATACAAAAAATTAATTATAAAAAAACGCACGATAGTATACGAATAGTGTTTTATTAAATGAATAAAAGTTATGTTAATCAAAGACAATACTAAAAACGCACGATTCACCCTAGATTTGTGGGGAATCTAGATATCCTGGAAGGGTTTTAGGGTTGTATTTACTACTACCACTCCAAGGGTGGCCATAATTGAAATATCAAAAAGCTATTCCTAGATAGAAATTGTATTTAATATTATTAGTTGAATGTATTTTTGATACACATTTGATATTACATCTCAAACCGAGTGTACAATAAAAAGTTAAGGGGTTTTAAACGATATTTGTGGGTTTTTGAAGTTGGTTCTAGGGGGAATATTCCATAGGAGCATCACAAACTTCCGATCACCAAAAAGATCCATCAGTATTTACCTATAATTATTGAATTTAATTCATTTCGTTTTTAGATATCAATTACGGTTGAATTTGTTCATTCATTTGTATAATCATTCAATGATCAATCATTCATATAATGTATATTAATATTTATTACTAGGTCGTAACTGGAAATCCTACGCAGTTTCTCACGCACCACGCGATGTTTTACATAAAACATAATATACCAGAGTTTAAAGGAAACAAAAATAATTGGGATGTGTTTAAATATTTCGTAATAAATTTTAATGTTATTTTTAATTTTAAGGTTAATTAAAAAAGTTTAGTTGACCACTATTCTTTGAATGTTTTGTCCCTATCACTATCATTTTACTTTGATAGTGTCTAAACGTGACAAAACATACTAAGTTCGTGTATTATACAAGATAATAATACATTGTAAAACAATATTTTTTTCAGAGGAAAATGTGATGAGTAACAATCCGTTTCAAACAAACGACGGATTCGCTAACAAAAATCCATTTTTCAATGGAGGATGGAGTACTGCACCAGTTTCTGTTAATCCATTTATGGTAATATTATCTTCTATATTATACTCATACAACTTATCTAATAACACAGGGGAATTGTTTCTCTGGTTCTATATTATTTACGAAAAATGTACGTATTAATGTAATAGAAACTGGTTTTTCTTACGGATACTGAGCCTAATTAGTATCATTTTCTTTCATAGAATAAATATAGTATATATACAAATATGCTTGATAAATATAGACCAAACGTTTGCATAATGTCGTTGATAACATAGAGGAAGTGATACTAGTGCATTTATTCCACCCACGTACAAATATACTTTTCTTCGTTATAAAATATTTTACGTCAGTTTTTGGTGTAAAAATAAATTAAAAACAATTATACTATAGATATAGACAAAGATGGAATACATAATACAAGATTCAAACATTTAGAAAAAGAAAATAACAATAAAAAATAAAAAAAATTAAAGAAAGTGAGGGTATGTACGTCAGGGTGTGTATGTGTGATGTGTTCATGGATACTCTTAATAATCCCTTTAAGCATCCGCGATAGCTTAAAAAAGTCTAGGCGACTAGTTATTAGTAAGTGAAGTTGCGGAAATCGCTTAATTTAATAAATTTAGTGAGAAATTAAATGATACGAAATGGGCTTTGGATAGAGTAACACGTATTTTTTTGTTATAAATCACATATCATGAAAACTACTACATTTAGGCTCATTGGGGACATCAGAGTTAAAAATGCGTGCTAAATTTGACACGAATCGTCTTAAAAAAGGTTATCGGTTATGTAGTATTTTATTGCTGAAAAATTATGTAATTTACTAATAATTAAGACACAAAATTGCAGGGCACAAATGGCCTTACCCAATGAAACTTAGTAGTGTCTATATTTAAATTTTAGCGAATGAAGTTCCTAGACCCCGTTTATCATTTAGTAATAATTTGCGCACTGATAATTCTCTTGACCCGCTTTTATCCATCTCAATCATTGTTGACGTTGACCGTAATAATATACGGAATTTTTGATGGTTTTATCTTGATACCGGGAAATGACGCATATTTTGCTATGAAGGAAAAACCACAAAAAATAATACAATAGATAATTTATCACGAATGTTTTGAAGTAGTTTTGTTCATTAAGGATGAATTGATGTGTCAGGAGGCTGCGAGAATTTATGCATTTAATTTGCCTTAATTAAATTTATATAAATTAAATTAGTGGCGCTACAACCTCTTTAGGTCTTGGACTCAGATTTCTGAATCTGTCTCATGATCATTATTTTAATCTAATAGGCAAGTAGGTGATCAGCCTACAGTGCCTGACACACACCGTCGACTTTTTGGGTCTTAGACATGTCGGTTTCCTCACGATGTTTTCCTTCACCGTTCGAGCAAATGTTAAGTGCGCACATAGAAAGAAAGTCCATTGGTGCACAGCCGGGGATCAAAACTACGACCTCAGGGATGAGATTCGCACGCTGAAGCCACTAGGCCAACACAGCTGCCATTTTTTATATAGAAAACGCATTATAGATAGCTCTGTAGTAATAACGTGATGTTTAAATACCGTAAGTCAGGCAGGTCAATTAATTAATTTATTTTATTTCAGCCGGCAACCAACGGAAGTTTTGTGAACCCGAAAAACCCATTCCTCTGATAGGCGTAAGTAATATCGCGAACAAATTTACGTAACAAAAGCACAAAATGCTACAAATCTAATTATTTATTAAGTATATACATTTGCCATAGTGCTTAGTAATGGTTGTAACTTAAGTGCCTCAATATGCCTTAAATCAGATCTTTATTCTTATATGTATTACGCTTTAGTATTCGGAATGTTTAGAATATACTTTAAAATGTTAAGATGTCGGTCTGAGCTTTATTAATTGTAATTAGTATAGAAAAATTACGACCTTGGAATGAAATTTATTTTTTCTAACTAACGAACAAACTACAGTAACAGTAACCCCCCTATAACGCGTTAGACCCAGACCGCGTTATAGTAAATCGCTTTGTAGGAGTAATCACGTAAAACCGTATTTTTGAAAAATTATAAAACTAGGAACACCAATTTAATAGTTACGTCGTTTAGTTTTATAACGAAATTCAAACAGGTGCAATGATACGCGAAACTATACCACTATAAATTACACTTACATACAAATCATTATAAATTTCACGCTAAAGAAATATATCTTGAAATATCTCCGCTTTATAAGGGGGATATATACCGCGGTATTTGGGGGATTACTGTATAGTATATAGTAGTGGGACGCGTGGACACGATAAAGATTTTATTTACCATCTTTTTAATATCACTTAATATTGGGTGGTTTTTTAATAAACCGTTTAATAGTTGCAATGATAAATGAACTCGAAGTAACTAAGAAATTAGAATTTAAGAATCTAATTAATGAATTGTAATATTTTCGTAAACGTGCCTCGATTGCATCATACCAAATTGGGGTCATATGTTTAATATTTAAGAAATTGTGTAATTATTTAGTTAAAATTATTTTCATAAAGTTCTTAGTATTGGGTCAAATTGAAAATATCTTGTTTTTAATCGAATTATCTGTTTAAAAAAAAAAAGAAAAATATATATTACTTAAAACGAAAAAATTGAATACATTTAAAAATGAATCAATTTTCTAATATATTGAACACAAAATAATATTTTCGTATTAAAGCTATGTAGGCCTAATAATTATTGTGAGTACTGTTTGGAAATAACGTAACCATGGCAACTACTTAATTCACTTTTTCTAAGGGTGTATATATTTTAAAACTGAGAATGATATATTTCATTCCAAGGTCGTATTCGACTGGACTAGGTATTTTATTGGCATGAAATACAGAGCTTTATTTGGAAAATTTAACAGCGTAATGAGTAAGAGAGCGGCTGTAATGTTTTAACGTTAGAAATATATTTTGTTAAAGGTAAAAATTTAGTAAGAATGAACAAATATTTGATTAACTATTAAATGCAGAAGATAGTTTATTATTCGCTAATAATTAATTTAAATTCGTTAACAACTACGTTAAATATTTGTATGATACATCAAATTCAGCAGGGTTACTCTGTAAAACTGAAAATGCTTAACTCAAAAATGTTGGGATTTTTCACTATAATAGTACCGATTGTGATAATTATTTTCAAGAGGAGACACCATTTCGATGTAACATCTATTGATACAATTACGTTCTAAGCCTGCTGGTACGTGCGAAAGGTTTTATAGACACATAGTAGACGCATGTTGTCTAACTGCTGAAACTCGAGAATTTATGTCTGTGCAATGATAACCGTCCAATTTTTTCCCGCGCAAACGTATTTCTGAGGCAAAAAGTTCATAGAATAATTTCTATATACTATCAACAAACGCGTTTACACCAAGTTGCCTAAAATCATACTATATCCTTGTTTTGTCTAAATCACGGAATAGATAAATATAGGCACCGCATGCGTGCCGCAAGTTCTACGTGATTAAACAGTCATAAAAATGAATTCAACATATTAAAAGGTAGTCAAGTGGCGAAGAAGGTTCTAGTACAAAATTCGGGTCTCGTTCAATATTGTTTATCTACGCCGTGGGAACTCTATTTAATTCAATTCATATTTAAGTATTCTATGATATAAAATATCGTCTATATTGTTGAGTTTTTTAATTAAAATGCCTGTAAATCGCCTTTGTTGATGGTCCATTTGAGTATTATAATATGACATTAATTATGCAAATACTCAATAGAATTTTTAAGGCTTTACTAGTGATTTTATCGTACAAAACATGAACATGACAGATTTCGAAATTAGCACAATCTAGATTAAGAAAATTTATAGAAATTGAGAGGCTAGTTCCCTACACAAGCCAATTAAATAAATGTTTAATTCGGTTTTTTAAGTGTGGGTATATTTTATATTTTTGAAGTTTGTATATTATGGGTGAGCATTTCCATTAATTTCCTCTCAAATTCTTAACTGTGATCGTAACCAGTTTATTTGTATTGCAATTAATTTTTGAAAATTTTATCAATGCACTTGACTATTTATTTAGTATTAATTATTTACTCTGAGCACTGAGATCTGTTAATTTGTATAGAAGATGTAAAAATAAATCAATTAAGGTTATTATTTGCTTGTTTTATTTTAATCTTGCTTTATTTAATTTATATACAGGTTCTATATTGACCCAATTTATTTAATCATACTAAAATATGTCCCGTATCGCAGGGTTAAATTATTAGATTTAAAAAAGAGTTTTCATAGATGCATATTAAATTATGTATTAACACAATACATTATTTTATTTTTGTAATACAGTGTGCTCAAAAAGTGCTATTGAGCTCGAAAGATGTGGGCGTTACACACTCGTGCTTTTTTTTATCTTTTCGAAATATTGACGTTATGTCAATTGTACAATGATAATATCAACTTAAAAAGAAAATTGTCTATCCAATAGTTTTTTTTTATAATTAAAAGAATTTTATATTCATGCTAATTACCATGAAAGCGAAAGCTAATGCGTTATTTCAATATCTATATTTAAATGATTAGATTCAATGAGAAGGTTACAGGTTTGAATTTTATCTCGTTAGTGCATTTCATATCAATAAAAGCTGTACTGTACCTTTTTTTTTTTTTTTTTTTTTTTTTTTTTTTTTTTTTTTTTTCCCTTCCCCCTCTCCTTCCTTTCTTTTTGGTTCCCCCTCTGCCCCCCCCTCCCCCCCCCCCCCCCCCCCCCCCCCCCCCCCCCCCCCCCGCGCCCCCTCCTGTATTCCTTTTTCCTTCCCCCTTTCTCCCCCCCCCTTCCCTTTTTTTTTTTTTTTTTTTTTTTTTTTTTTTTTTCCTTCCCTTTCCCGCCCTTTTTTTCTTTCTTTTTTTTTTTTTTTCTTTTTTTTTTTTTTTTTTTTTTTTTTTTTTTTTTTTTTTTTTTTTTTTTTTTTTTTTTTTTTTTTTTTTTTTTTTTTTTTTTTTTTAAAATTTTTTTTTTTTTTTTTTTTTTTTTTTTTTTTTTTTTTTCAGTGGCCCCTCCCCCCCCCCCTTGGGGGGGGGAAAAAAAAACCCCCTTTTTTTTTTTTCGGGGGGGGCCCCCCCCCCCTTTTTTTCTTTCCCTTTTTTTTTTTTTTTTTTTTTTTTTTTTTTTTTTCCCCTTTTTCCCCCCCCCTTTTTTTTTTTTTTTTTTCCCCCCCCTTTTTTTTTTCCCCCCCCCCCCCCCCCCCCCCCCTTTTTTCCCCCCCCCCCCCCTTTTTTTTTTTTTTTTTTTTTTTTTTTTTTTTTTTTTTTTTTTTTTTTTTTTTTTTTTTTTTTTTTTTTTTTTTTTTTTTTTTTTTTTTTTTTTTTTTTTTTTTTTTTTTTTTTTTTTTTTTTTTTTTTTCTCCCCCCTTTTTCCCCCCCCCCCCCCCCCCCCCCCCCCCCCCCCCCCCCCCCCCCCTCTTTTTTTTTTTTTTTTTTTTTTTTTCCCCCCCCTTTTTTTTTTTTTTTTTTTTTTTTTTTTTTTTTTTTTTTTTTTTTTTTTTTTTTTTTTTTTTTTTTTTTTTTTTTTTTTTTTTTTTTTTTTTTTTTTTTTTTTTTTTTTTTTTTTTTTTTTTTTTTTTTTTTAATTTAATAATTAAAATAAAAACACGTTTAGGTTTTATTACAATTTATTTCTACTTTTGTTTTTTAACGTCGGTGTTGTGAAGGGATCCGATGTTTCAGAGTTTTCCGTAACGGAGAAATCCATGTCCCGTTTTGGTAAATCTGATATACTGACTGGCTTGGACGACGAGGCCTGCAGACGTTTCTCTGATATTGTTTTTAATATGTTTTTACCGGCTTCCTTTGTCTGAAACGAGTTAAATACTATCACCACCAAACATACATTCAGTCAAAAATATCAAATAGGTTCTGTAATATAATAGAAATAATAAATTTTTGAATATTTGATTTACACAATTGGTTTTGAAATAGATTTTTTAGAATTCTAATATTTGACGTTCTTATACAGCACAGATTACCACTTTCAGGGTTTGCATGAAATACAGAAGTCACAAAATTTTCTACATTTATATTAAACTATATATAGATTTCCGTTCCGTAGCCATTTCTATATTTAGGTATGAGGTTGATTTATATTGTCAGCATTAAGTCGGTCACTAGGCAAGTTTTTAAACAAATGTTTTCACATATTAGTCTAGTCTAGTTAGCTTAGGGTGAGATTCAGTAACTTTACGCTGTCTGACTTCAGTACGTCAACAATGTATTGGATTTTGACAGACAGGAGTCATAGCTCCCTAAGCGTCTGTTACACATAATTATTTGAAGTTTGTGCTATTTGACATTATCGAACATAACTTATGATGGACTTTATATAGATACTATCTGACAGTCTGAAACGCGGCAATAGTGTTTATCCAACCAATAAGTAGTAAATAGCTAATTTGGAACTTATGTAGAACTTAGCGGTATATTGTGAAACAGACCCTAAGCGTCGGTTTTTAATCTCGCCACTAGAGTAAAATTAAAAATATATAAAAAGGAGCAACGACAGGACATGAGCATTCAAAATAATATGGTTTAGGCCTTAGATGAGGTCTCGCAATTTGATTAAGTTATTAACTTAAAAATGCTAACAGTTCCTAAGTTAAATTAACTTATACCTGGAGTCCAAATAAAATGTTTATATTATAGTTTACTTACGCTTTCATACTCCAAGCATTTGTATGCGTAATGCGATGCGTGGTCCAATAGGCTGAACCTGAGATAGTACTGTGCTAAGTAGCGAAGCGCAGCAGGCATTTCCTTGCTCGGCTCGTTAGCAGGGTCCTGACAGGCCGCCGTATACGCTGCTGCTGCGCTATTCGGCATATTCGACTTTTCATATAATCTGCAACAAACACATGTGAAAAACTCAAACCAATTATATATATTACGCAAATATATTATATCGGATTTAAATGCATTTGCCACCATCATCTAGGGTGATCCATGAGGAGTAAATATAATTTGTTAAGGATTGTTGTTCATTCATACAGCTACCGGCAAACTTCTTGAGCATTAAACAAGGGAGTGGGGGAAAGTTTGCGCAGCAGAAAGTGGACGCAGCGCGAGACACAAACGTCAACTGATTTACGAATCACGCCATCGAAACGTCACTCACACGAAGTGATACCTAAAATGCGCTTCTGCGCATTTGACATTTGTTCAAGATTTTTGCCGGTATCTGTACAAATTGTTGATTTTTCCAACCAATCTAGGAAATCTCGTGTACACTGTCTTTGAGATTAATAAAGCAACACTTGTAAGACAGACAACAAATACGGCGGGTCGATTTTATATGTATGATATTTTTATGTCGAGAAAGTTTTAAACCATGACAATGTGGAAAATTTACTAAAGTATAGTATATTTCTTAAATTTGTTTCAATTTTCGTTTTATATCAACTATCATATTGCTACATAGTGTATGTAACTGAGAAGTCACAGTTCTCACTACACCAGGAGCTTGGGACACATAATAAAAAGCAAGTAGTAGTAAAAAAAACTGACATAATGGCTTATTCTTAATCGCCACATTTTAGTTATGATCATTTTGGCCAGTTTCCTTTACTAGTACTTGGAAGAACCGCCCTGATTAAAGAAATTATATATGTTTGTAAACAGGTCCCAAACAAGACGATGCTACTAGGTTAGTACCTACTAAAAATTATTTAGCCTTAAGTGATTATTACTTACTTAGCTAATTTAAACAAAGCCATTCCTTCAATGTCTCCTGTACTATGGGCCTTGTAATAGCACTTAAGGGCGTTAGGTATTTTGTCCATCTTCTCATAAGCTTCACCAAGAGATACCAACATTCTCGAATCATCCGGCTTAAGCTGAGCCGCTCTTGAGTAGTAATATATACAGTAGCCGTTCAAACCGAGTATCTCATACGCTTGGCCTAGCCCGTTCCATGCTCTATAATCATTTCTGTTGACATCTGTACAATGTCGACATGTGTTACAAATTTATGATATATTATATAAGTTAATTTTTGTTTATATTCTACAATTATATTTCATGCAGTCTTTTGTATATGAAATAAATTAATACATTTGTATCAAAACCAGATTGTTTTGTATAAAAACAGTTTTAAAAAGTATATTAATACCAATGAAGGTAACTCCCTATAGTGATCCCGACTGTGATGTGAGGTTTTTTGTACAGTGTGATTCAGTGGTTCCAACATCCGCACTATAGATATTGGGAGGACAACATCGAAATTGCATACAAATAATAATAAATAATCTTTGTGTTGCGTAAGATGGATTACACAAGTTCAATAGCACAACACCAGTTAGCGAATTAAATTATTGATACACTTCAATTAACGTTATTACACATGACAAAATATCGGGATCGGTATTGCAATGCAATGTGATTATTGAACGCTCCCATGCGCCCACTCTTATGACACTCTGTACAAACACTAAGGCTGAATTTAGTGTCACGCCGACCGCACGCGCACCGTCGCTGCTGATGGTCGAGATATATGAAGGAAGCGTTTTTAAAATGACGCGTAGCTATCAGCGCGCACGGTGGTCAGCGCTGATGGCTACGCGGCCGTACGCGTCGCGCGTCGGCGCCGCGTAGCTGTCAGCGCTGACGATCGCTAGAGCGCCTCTGCTTTCAGTGAGCGTTGTAGTGTCGAACGGAGCGGACGTCGTCAGCGTGTACAGTCATGGCAAATCGCGAAGTGGATACAGGTCGAGTTATCGACGAGGTACGCCTGAGGAAGAAATTGTGGGATGCATCCGATCCATTTACTTTCGTCAGCCCTCAAAGTGCCATATAACAAGACAAAGTCTCCTGCAACGGCTCTCTGTTCAATCAATGGATGAACATGGAGTCTTCGTCGTCGCCGGTTTTTATTTTTTTGAGATAGGTAGTACAAAGCAGCAGTAACTAAAACACTCCGCATTTTGGTCTTCGTCTGTACAGTAAGGCAGTCAGTACGATACTAAAACGAACCACGCTGAGCGTCAGCGCTGATCTATGAGCGCTGATGGTGAGCGTGAGACTAAATTCAGCCTAAGGCTTTTGAACGGCTTAACCGATTTTGAAAATTCTTTTTTTAAAATTAAAGATGGAAAAATTTCCCGTGCTATAGGCTATAAAAACTCAATAATATTTACGAATAAATCACAAAATAATCGGAAAAACAACTTCGAAGGAGACCTAAAACTAAAAAGTCCTTTCAACAAAATCAAATCTTTAAATTAAATGTTTTGAATCTTTTTATTTTTACTCATCATTAAAAATTGAGTTGAACACTCGCTCCGCTCAAATTTGTGCTGAAGCTAAGCAGAATTGCGAGCACTGCGGCGTTCTAGTATGGCCATAATACTAAAAAAAATTGTTTATAATAAAAGATCTTAATATAAAGCAGTTTTTTAAAAGCATTAAGAAAATTCTTACCAATAGCCTGTCTATAGCATTGTATGGCAGCATTGGAGTTCTGTAGTTCTATAAACTCATGACCCATCAGGATCCAAGCTGACAAATAGTAGGGGTCCAATGATAATGCCCTTTGAAAGTATATTACTGCCTTATGATGTTCACTGCGGAGACTGTAATAGTTTCCTACAATAAGGATATTGATGATAAATTTGAGAACTAGTTCTTGAAATAGATATCGACATTGTATTTTATTTAATATAGAAAATTTTATAAATAGACTGCTTAACAATAACAATATACATGACACAATAAAAATATTTTTTTATTTATTTTATTTTTAATACATACATATGTTGTATGCTTGCAAATTACAATAAATATAATTTAGGTAAATAAATATATATTATATTGGTAAAAAATATTAAATAGGCGATATTAAATATTCTGTAAATAGTCTTACCAATAACACAACATGTCTCAACCCTATATTTATCAATAGCAGCAGCCTTCTGTGCCAAGTTAGCTAGCTCCATTCGTTTCTCTTTTAAGTACAAAAGGTGGGAATACACATCCCAATTATCTAATCTATAAGGGTCACTTTGGTACAGCTCTCTAAATAGTGCTAGAGATGAATCCACATCTGTAAAATAGTTTTATCATAACCATGATGTTCTAATATTCATGTTTGGATTTAAGCTTATAGTGAAAATGCCGTATCATGAGCTGATACGAAATGTCATACAAAGCATTTAGGTAGCTTTGTATGACATCAAATATTATTAGGCTTTAGAACATGTCTTGCAGTTACGTATGGGCATCTGCTGTCATTAATTTTAAAAGGGAGACAAGTTCATATTTTTAACTTAACTAAAAATATAAATTGCAGATATCAGGTAGTGTTATATTTACCTCTTGCATCATGATGTGCTATAGCCATTTGTGCATTAATATAAGTGCTTTTTTCAAATCCAGCTGCTGCTAAAGCTGTATATGCTTCTAAAGCTTGTTCAGACAGTTTAAGCTCCACAAAAGCATGAGCTGCAAAAAAGTACATCATCCAATGCTTTGGCAGTTGCAGAGTATCCAAGGCTTCATATTCATTTGCTAAACTAGCTAACTCCACCCAGGCACACCATAAGGTAGGAGTCACAGCTATTGATGACTGTAAAACTGATACTGCTTGACTTCTAAGATCAAGTTTCTTTAAAACAACCCCTTCCAAGTAGAGTAGGTAGCCATCATTGCTGTTTTGATTTGCCTGAAATAATTCTTATCTATTATGGAGAGCACTTATTTACTTTATACTTGAATAAATTATCAATGAGATTCAAAAACCTATGAAAAACTTTTAGAATTAGTAAGAAAACTCACCTTAAAATAAGACAAAAGATCAAGTAAAACTTGTGTTGATTCAGGATTCTCAGAGCCAACATCAGTGGCATTATCTAACCTCTTTTTTTCACTGGACATATACTGACTATACCGGTGCAGGAACACACATTTTGAGCTCTTGCAATTCTCTACAAAATGTGCTGCTCTATCATATTCTTGGCAATCAAAATACGTTTTGGATAGGCTGTATGCTTCACGTTCATCTGATGCTATATCGTCATATGGATTTTGCTGTTCTGGATACTGTATTTTATGATCTCTCAACGCAAAGTTTAATTCCGCTAACCATTTAGCTGTTTGAATTAAGCCCCGGTCATTACATTCACGGATCTCTTGTAATATATCCAGTCGTACTTGGTTTAAATCAATTTGAATATCATTTTTTAACAGCGGCTGCATTGCTTATTGATTAAATGTTATTCTTTCCTACAATCCACAATATTTTTCACTTATTTAAGTTATTATTAGAAATGTTACAAAAAGTTCTCTGGTATATTGTTTATTAGCGACATCAACATAACACATATATTGATTTTTACAGAACAACTTTGAACATACTTATCAATGTTTAGGTTACTCCTTAGTGCTTAGACAGAAATAACAAAGTTGTAAATAAAAAAATTAACAACGATGAACAATGGTTTATAAAGATTTTTAATACAATTGACATTTCTGATTTCAAATTAATGAATGAAAGTCAACTTGACTTCTCACTTCACTTCACTTTATTTATAATGGCGACATCTGTGTAAATCACAGCGACCGCCCTGTCACGTTATTTACCCCTAGCCCATGGGCGAACGGGGTACCCAGCGCCACCCTAGGGTGATTGCGCGGAAGAAGGTGTTCACAATTCCGCCAATGTCACGTTCTAAACTTGACTTCTCGCTTTCAAGTTTCAAGTAAAATTTAAACTTTGACAATACATAAATTTGACGTATTTGTAAACCATCTGTGGTTTTTAGTTCTGACAGTATTTTTAATTTATGAATATTATCTTTTTTGATGTGTTTTCAAATGTAATGAGAATTACGAATTTAGAATTATTACACTTTGGGATAACATAATAACTCGCTCAAAACGATTTTCGGAAAATCGTGCCTTAGCATGAGATAACGTTGAACGAATTGAAATTCAACAATCAGTCGAAGTCGAACTTGTTGGGAACTAAGCAACGGTTAAGTAGTGCTAGCGGTTTCATAGGAAGCAATCGTATTTTTGAGAAATGGCAGATCCAAAAGTTGAGCAACCTACATCAGATGTAGAAAATAACTACACACCAAGTAACGACCCGAAGAATATGCAAGAAGTAACACAATATGTAAGTTATTATCAACTTAACATGCTTTCACATCCTTCTCCAGTTTACCAAATATTGAATTTTAATCAATAATATTGAAGTTCTTATGTCACACTTGAATGCCCATTAACCCATAATCAAAATAAAATACATATACATTTTCATCATTACCCGAATATACAATTATTTTCAGGTGCAATCTTTGTTACAAAACATGCAAGATAAATTTCAAAGTATGTCTGACCAAATTATTAATAGAATAGATGAAATGGGTACTCGTGTTGATGAATTGGAAAAAAATATCACAGATTTGATGACACAAGCAGGTGTTGAAAATGAAAAATAATACATATAAGAAATTGACATTAATCATATAGTAGTGTTTGATTTGTAGTAATATGCATGAATTGTCTTTTTTAATGCAGATTTAAATCTTCATTCCAAACATTATAATGAAAAAAAAACACCAAATTAGTTTGTAACTCGTATTAACATTGAAATCTTCTTAAAAGAACCAATAAAATTTAAAAACATTTTTATTAAGTAATATATATATATTCTAAAACAATTTTCACTTTGAAGAAATTAAATTAACTTCATGTATTTATAACTTTTTATTCCATATTATAACCTAATTTAAATGTCATCAATATATTATTGTTGAAACATAATGTATCTTAATGGTGTTTGTTTGCAACCAACCCAGCTGTGAAAATAATTGTTATTCACAAATAGGTATTTTAATTGTAGTGTTAGATTAAGTTTTTTGTATCACATATTTTTTGTAATTTCACACATTAAATTGTTTTGAAAACATTTGTATATTTTTCTTCAGAAGGATTGTACCTCTATGCTTACTTTACAAATCAATGTTGTTAGAAGTCCCATAACTGCCAGACGCATTTTTGAGTTCTTTCATAAGTTTTAACAATAATTTTTATAAATGTATATAAACCAGTATACTCTGTGCAATGTGCATATTAAACTTCAACAATTATGGTTCAGTAAGAAGTGAATGTAGTTCCTCCGTGTTTACGTAGTAAGCGTTAATTATCATAACTACATAATAATACAATGCTAATTGTTTTGAGACAAGAGTTATAAGCAAGATATTTTTTTATGTTGAAACTTTTTAGTTTCATTGACAGTTCAACAAGAATGGTTTTAGATAATGAATTTACAAATGAGTAACCAGAAGCTCCATATATCGATTTTGCCCGTGTCTTGCACGGTGCGGCACAGGATGTATCTAATCGGAGAAACTATCGTATCGCGTGTGTTATCCTGACTCGAAACCATAAGTTGACGTTTCGTAAATTTGACTTCTCAAATTTATTTTAAATAAGGTGAATTCAAAAGGAATAAATACGTTTTCACAGTTGAACACTGAGAGGTACATCCTTGTATGAACCAGACAAATTTTACGCGTTTTTTGTTTTGAATTATTATGATTAGCTCCTCCGTCGATGACCTGCATGATGTGTCAAATGATCCATAAATAAATTGCGTGGATAGTATCATTTATAAACAATATTTTAAAACACATTTTTATTACTTACACTAGTCTATATGATATTAAATCAAGGCTAATAGATAATGTACTCTATGATCAATCACATTTGACACAAAAAGTAATTTCCAATAATATCCAATTTATTATTTCGATTCGGACTCTTCCGTAGAGCTTTGATCTTCAGAGTCATCTGTTTCCTGTTGAAAATATAATTATTTAAAATACTACTTTGGTCATAGTCATACACATTCTCGTTTAGTTACTCATTTGTAAAAAAACTGCACAAATGCAAGTTGTGCTGCACATTTATGTTGTTTTAACTGCTACTGCTAGTAAGAAATATATTCTTCTAAACAGTTTCTTCAATTTCAAACCTCGGACTGAAAACCTACGCTTTAAATTGTAACTTTTATATTAAATTACTTGTAAAAAAATATAATTAGTTTATACCGTAACAGTGTCTTCGTCTTTCGAAGTTGAATGGTTCATGAGTGCTGCTATAGAGCTTGATCTCGCTTTCATATTTTTATCCGGTGAACGCATTTTTCCCAAACTCTGAAATAATAACATAGCATTGACCTACAAAGACGAGCGGAAGTAGAGGGTAAGTATAACAATAAAATATTCACTCATATTGGATGACAGTCATGCTTAGCGCTAATTCTCGACTAAATTCTACCACAAGTGCCAAGGACTAAATTTGCGGGTACCATGAAATGAACGAATACAGACCGATGTTATAAGAAACGAAATAAATACACCAATAAACTGTCATTATTATAGCCAGTTAAGGTGTGCTACCTGATATATACCTATAATGATTTTATTCAATGCTTACCGAGGAGTCGTCGTCTTTTTGTGGAGACATTTGTGGATACATGAGTGACGCAAGCGAAGAAGATCTCGCCGAAATACCAGTGCTGACTGGCTTTTCTGGAGACTTTAGCTTCCGCTTGAAGTTCTACAATATTTTATTTAAATAGCTTTTGAATAATCAAATTAAATGATTTATATAAAATTCTTAAAAATGAATTGTTTTTTATGCAACTTTAGTTTATTTACTTAAAAACTTTTATAATAAAAAAATTGCAAAAAAAAGAAACGCGAAGAGAAGTCGCAGAAGTGCTAAATTATTATTGTTTATGTTATGTTCACAACACCGTTGTTTCATTATGGTTCGATAGTGATCATTTTAATACTTCATATGAAAAATTAATTTTTATATTTTATTATTAAAATTTAAACGCATCAAGAAAGTATGATGCCTATATATTTTTTTATTATTAGACAGTAAAAGCTAATTTTATTTCCTGAATCGTAAAGTTATAAAAGTAAAATTACCGTTGGTTCCTCTTTTTCGGAAAGTCCTGTCAATAACAACTCCAAAAAAAACATCAAATTAGATATCTATTATAATCTGACTAGATCATCGTTTCTCAAGCGTGGGTCGAGTGTGTTTTAAAAGGTAGTCGCAGTTTGATAAAAAAGAATAAATACAAAAGATTAGTTTATTAAAGGAATGAATAATTATAGTGTAGTGTTATAAAACTAAATTAATAATTTTACAGTGACGGGGTCCCAAGGCTGTTTTACTTAACTTTTTGGCTTTTTCGTGGGTCGCGGCATAAAAATAGTTGAGAAACGATGGACTAGATAATATCCTGTTGTATTTGCTATGTAAATACGCTATTTCCCATTTGAGCTAAGATTTCAAACGAGAAGCCAGTCCGCCCTTTTCATACCATTAAAATATTCTTTGAAGGAATAATCTAGGAAGATTGTTGTAATATCTCTTACGTTAGCTGAACTGTAAAATTCTACTAATCCATTGGAGAATGGGACATGGGATAGACATTCATGCGTCGATTCAGATCGATCGCCAGAAACAATGATTGTTTCGCTGCAAACCGAACCTCGTCATTAACCCCTAAGCCAAAAAATAGTGGCAGTTAGACCTTTGAAGGTCTGGGCATTCGATTTCTGGTTCATTAGGTTATCAGCCTTCTGTGCCTGACACACACCTTCGACTTTTAAGTCTTTTACCCAATAAGGCATGCCGGTTTTCTAACGATGTTTTCCTTCACCGTACGAGCAACTAGCAAGTGTTAAAAGTGCACAAAGACAAGTTTATTGATGCACAGCCGGGTTTCGAACCTACGATCTCAGGGACCAGAGTCAAAAAGCGACTATAAGCCCGAACTTCAAGTCACAAAGATAAATTAAATCGTACCAACCTCTAAGTCAGCTTTATCGTTGATATCACCAATTTGCTGGTACGCAACAGTTAGCAGTTCCACAGCCCTCGAGTGAAATGTCATTTCCACCATCACGAAGTCCGTGAGTAGACCCTTCAGTTGCTGCAACTTGCGTTTTTCAAAGAACTCTGTCAGCTCGCTGAGACCCTTAGCTGTACGCGACATCTCCGCTGATGCTTTGAGGAGCTCGGATTCAGCGTATGTCTATCAAAGGATATTAGTATTAGGTATCACATTATTTTGACGCTTTTATAGTAGGTACTCATTTCGCTCAAAAAAGGGCCACCTTTGCCTCCTAAACTAGAAAACGCCACCTTAGACAATCTTGCTCTCTACTAGTTAGCGTAGCGTAGGTATATAGTAGATATTTGTAATATTTTGTTCGTAATTTGGACTTGTTTGTAAATTAGATATCATTGTTTAGGAATCGTATAATTGTGAAGCCCATTACGACGAGAGACAGACACATTTCTGCGTGTGTTTCATTGCCCCCTTATGGCAAGTCTTAGGGTTATATGCCTGATCGATGAGTGTAAAATACCAATGGATACTTTTGGTTCAGGCCATATACGTCTCAAATCATTTTTTATTTCCGTGAGAAACGGTTTATTGCGAACATATAAAACAAAATTCGCATGCAATGACCAAAATGTAGGGAATTTATTGAATAAATTAGGAGAAAAAGTAAACTCTTTACCACTTGTTGTCGATTAAATGGTTGCCTTTCTCGAGCTTTGTCAAGAATCTTCTTCCTCGCCATTTCTTTCTCACGAACGCTCATAGTATGTTTCAGTTCTTCGCGGGCGTGTTTACAAATATTTTCGTATTGGCATAACTCCCCAATTACCTGTGTTATATATGTATTTTTTTTTGGTGCGTCAAAGAGTCTTATAATACTACATCTTTATTATATTACTATATATTATTTAAAAAAAAATATTAAAACACGTACAATAATTACAATTTTACAATATTAACTATAATTTTAGAACATCGTTGGCCTAGTGGCTTCAACGTGCGAACTCTGAGGTCCCTTTGGTCGGTTCGTACACCGGGTGTGCACTAATGGACTTTCTGTCTGTGCGCAATTAATACTCGTGATGAAACGGACATCCCTTAGACCGAAAAAATTTACTGATCTAAAGGCTGCTCACTTACTTACCGACTAGAAAAATAATCACGGAGCAGATACCCAAGCCTTTGGCTCTGATCTAAAAGGTTGTAGCGCCACTGATTTTTTAAAATTCGATTACCTTTGCTTCCAAGCGTTGAACAGCACAGTTTCTATATTCCTCTATAGCTGTTAATGTTAAAGACAAATTGTCTAAACCAGTACTCAAGGATTTGTTAACTAATTCATTATTAGCATACTCCTTAAATATTTTTGCGAGTTCGTCTCCCATGTCACGTAATCTGTAATAAAAAGTAAAAAAATTTCGTAAGCTGTGTGAGCCGTAAAGGAATCCAAACATGACATAAATTTTTGGTTTAAAACCACTCATTACGATAATGTTGTAAAAACAACAAACCTAGCAGTTTTCCGAGTATAATCACCGAAACCGACACAAAGTTCACCAAAGTGTTTCTCTACGTTAGTTATACGATCTAAAATAAATTTTGACTGTTGTTCATAACTCAATGAATGAGAATTATCCCCTCGAAACATTTTTAATGGACAATATATTTTCTTCACTTAAAAAATATTATAATTATTTACGTCGAAATTCGAATGTTTCAAATATTTTTGTTGTCATGACAACCTATAAGCCCAACCAAAAGTTTATGCATTTATACTATGTAATGTTAGCGAAACTGTGGTATGACATATGACTTTAAAAGTAGTATTTCTTGAATAGGTGACATTTGATAACTAACATATGGCACATCGCTAAACTGTCACTGTCATGAACAGCTGCCTATTTTAGTTTACAAAATACAAATAATATAATTTTAATTTTAAAATGAATGAGGAAATAGACGAATATGATATTTATCACCAAGATTTTACAACTGCATCGGAATGGGAAGTGTTTATAGCTAGACTAGAGGAAGTAATGCAAGAGTGGCATTTACCTAGATCAAAACTTGCGAAACAGTTTAGCGACTACACAAAGAAATGGTTAACTAAGGCGGAAGATATTAAACTACATGGCTTAGATTTCAGATTGACTTATCATGCTTTAGAACCTCTAAGAGGTTGTGAAGAGACTGATAATATCGATGATCATAGCATACTAAAAGATATACAAAACGGTTTATGGGGTTCCACAACAAAGTTTATGGATGACACCGATGGAAGTGCGTTTCCTGTTTCTAATTGGTTCGGCCTAAAACGATATCTAATGCTCTGTCCTCGATCGCCTCTTGTAGAAGGAAGTGTTATTAAGTTGGTTATGAGTTCTGTTAATATTGCTTTTGCGAATGTTGACTGTGGTGTGCCTTTTTTCGTTAAAATAAGGGACCATTGGCAGCATACATACTTAGGTATTTACGAAGACACTGATTTTAAAGTATTCTTTGACACAATCCACTTGGAACGAATTTCTAATCAGTGTTCTCACCTTAGTGGTCTTGTTGGTCTGTTTAAGTCGAAAATCTCTTCTCCTATACCACTGGATGCTGTTGTTATTTCAGTAAAATTTTCATATGAACTAAAATATTCCGATACTTTTGCATGGAGACAAAGATTATTATCAAATGAATTTTTGTCAATTGATGGATTTGATGTTATGAAACTGATAGACATTCCATTTGGCTTGGAAAGTAGTCCTATTCAGAGTGCTCTCCTTAATGCTATATGGCCACAGTTTAGAGAGAGTGCCATAGTTGATTCGTCTACCTTTTCTGACATTGACCCTTTAATGGCTCCAACTTGGACTATAACAATAAAAATTCGTAATAATATTCGAGGTCAATTATCGGACACAATAGACAGGGTTATGCAATTACTAGAAAACAAGCAGTTGATCATGGATGTACTAGGTTTGAGTAAAAGCTTAGGCGTAGTAAATCCGTTGCACAAAATAACTGAAGCCCCCATCACAATATCAAAACTGGTTAAGGCAGCAATGAGACAAAACACTTCAGTTGGAGAGTTTAAAGGTCCTATAGCAGATGATTTATTGATGACTATGTTGTATTATGTGTTCCCTGATGCAGTGGCCAATAATTCTTATCCCTATCCTGATCAATTGGAAGTTGAGAACAAACAAGTAAGTTTTTAATTAAAGATGTAAAATAATCATATTAGTTATGCCGTAGATGGAAAACAGATATAAAATGATAATGTATAAGCATATTTTTTTTAAATTACATTATCTGACATATATATTTTTTAAATTGAGTAAAAAATGACCAACTATATTTTAGAAATTAATTTTAACATAAAAATAATATTTTGGTTCTAATTTGGCTCCAGGAAAATGGTGAAACAAGGCTCTGTAGCTATTTAAAAGCAAGTCCTGTGGATGGCTTGGTTTGGAGACTGTCGCTAACAGCGGCCAGTCTAATATCAGCTGGAGGATTACCTTATCTTGCCCATTTATGGTATGAGTTTACTCAAGAGTTGCAATATAGATGGGAGCATAGAATACTTATTCAGGGGTAAGTATCTAATTCTAAACTATGTACTATATCTATAGTATTCTTCATATCTCATGTTATAATAATGTAACCAAATCATTATATGACTATGTTATTAGTGGGAGTAATAAGTACAAAGTAAATTAAAGCAAAAAGTCCAAAGTAAAGAATTTATTTACATTTATAAACTCAATAATTATTAACAGATTTCTTATATATAGCACCATTTTGGATCTGCTTCTAGATGTTATAAAAATAACACTATATATACATTTAAATTATCTTATAATAATATATTCTATAATTTTTGCATGACAAACAACATATCTACAACGGTCTTTCGTTAGACAGTAAAAGTATTAATAATTTTACTTACACATAAATCCTATTTTATTTTTGCATATCTATTTAATATTTAATAAGTACTCAATTTATAATATGTACAAGTTGAACCGATTAAAACTGATACACCTCTAAGTCCCTTTTCTCACTTATTCCGACACTTAAATGCATCCCACGTTAAATCTTCACTTGAGTCCTGATCATGAGCCTCGCAGGTGTGACAGTGAGTGCGTCGGCGTGGGCGAATATGTGCTTCGTGCTTGCATCGGGATTTGCAGGCTCTTCTTGGCGGTGTATAGCTGTCAACCCGCTCTATATCCCCCAACGCCGTGCTTTTCGTTCGCTATAATGGCACGAGGCCGCCCCGCGTTGTAGGATTTCGTGCCATATAAATGTCCATGTCATGATCGGTCCAGTTGTCAGACGTATCACAGTAGCCTAAGCCGAGAGAACCTACGCTATATCGACTGGCGGGTCGTGATCGCGATCTAGGTCTCCTTCTAGACCCAGCCGTGCCACTCGTAGCCCCGCCAGCAGCGCCGCTTAATGACAGACGTGATGCTCTTTCTGACGCCCCTCCTAACGACTGGCGTGACTGCCGAAGGTCTGAAAATAAGTAGCTGTCATGAAAAAGTACCTTGATGCATTATTAATGCAATAGTATTGTTCGGAAAGACAAAGCAGGAAACGAAAGGAAAACATAGTCTTACCGGTTCTCGATCCTAACATGCTTGCAGGATATCCAGGCGGGCCGTAGCGAGCAGACTGTGAATAACTATGTTGTGATTGACCATCTGCCAGTGACCGCGCCCGTCCTGGTCGGCCTTGTAAAGGCTCTGGAACAGCTGGTTCAGTGAAAGAGCGTGCACGCGGAATAGATCGTGCACTATAAGCCGATACTTGGTCCCACTCACGCTGTTTTCCAAACGCCCCAATTGTTGTCAACGAAGATAGTGGACCATTGGGACTTGGTGTACCGGTAAGACCCCCACAGCAAGGATTGGGCATTTTCTCTGGTGGATGAGTGTGTAGGCGATGAATTGTTCTTGATCTTCTACGTGATGCAGCCGCGAAAATAAGTACTGCTACCACGATAGTCCCGCATATAGCAGCACTAGCTGCTATAGTAATTTTGTCCATATTGGTAGCTGCAGCGGACACTGTGCGAACTTCTCTGCATTGCGAATATGGTACCGTCTCTGGACTGACGTGTACTTCCTCCAAGGAAATGACGCAAACGACGATACATTCCTGTAAAATAGATAAAATATATAGCCTCAATTAGGTTTTTATAAATTTTTCGGAATAAGTAACAAGTACCTGCGATGGAACATTTTTAATTTTAAATTCCCTTTCGCTCGCCTCTAGAGGTGGTCCTTGCTTAAAACTTTTGTCTCCAAATAATCTATATACAACGCGGAATCCCAAAATATTGGCTACATCAGAATCCCACTGAATAATTACAGAGTTATCCTGCCTGTATGCATTCTTAACGATAACTTCATTTGAATCGTCTATTTTTGGTTTCTGTTGTGAAAAATTCATTATTAATGGTGGTCTTTGATTGGGAGCGTGGCGCCAGGATGGTGCTGCGGTTCTTAATGATGGTATTGAAGTAGTTTTTGTAGTTGTGCTTGGTGTTGTTGTTGGTACGCTAGAGGTCTCGTTTTTGATGTAACTAAAAGAAGAAACAGTTGTTGAGCTTATCGGTACAGAACTTGTTGATTGCGTCGTAGTTGACGTGGTTGTTGTTGACGTTGTCGTACGGAGTTCTGCAACCTTTTTTGTAGTGGTTGGTTGTGAATCCATAAATGATACCATATCTTGATCGCAAATAAGTTCATTTGGTTCAAAGCTATAAAATCCGCGTTCACGAAAGTGTGGAGGATAGCCGCAAAATTGAGGATTTCTTTCGCGAGATGTAACCTGAAGTTCGCCGTTACGAATCCATTCGATTATCCATCTTAGACGGCAGTCGCAATTTAAAAAGCGCCCACCTAAACTGAGACCTCGTAACGTATGATTCAGATGAGATAAAGCCTTTTCTGGGACAGTTGGAAGTGGGTTACCATCTAGAGCCAATAAAGTTATTAACGGATTCATTAAAAATGCATCAGTCGGCAACTTGTTTAATAGGTTGAAACCGATATCTAAAACTCGTAACTCTGTCAACGTTGCTATGGCTTCAGTTGGAAACTCCGGCAATAGATTATTGAGAAGACTGAGAGAGCTTAACGTGTTTTTTATACCAAAAAATGCGTCCTTTCTTAAATTAACCAACAAGTTTCTCTCAAGATTTAATGCCGTTAATGATTCTAGACCTTCAAAGATCTTAATTCCATCAGGGCCGGGCAATTCTCGGATTCCATTCTGGGATAGATCAAGGAACGCCAAATTCTTAAGACCCCGAATACATTCTGGTACTGTTTTTTGCTTAGTGCCTTTTAGATTAAGATTTTTCAGTGAAGTTTCGATTCCAGCTAAAGCATAGGGCGCTAATGTCACGTTATTGTCCGAAACTTTTAATGTAGTTAACTCTTGAAGTGTAAAGAAAGCGTTATCATTAATGTAGGTTATCCGATTCTTTGATATGTCAAGGAGTGAAAGACTTTTCAATATTCCGAAAGCTTTTGTTGGGACCTCTGTAAGTTCGTTATCCTGAAGATTGAGGTTTTTCAAAAATTGGCCCTGCCCTCTGAAAGCATTTTCTCCAATTCTCTTTATTTTACAACTAGATATTTGTAAATTGTGTATTGCGAGATTTATAAACAAATCGTCCGTTAGTTCGGTAACAGTGGAATTATTAATATATAGTAGATCTATAGTGATTTTACGTGCGCTGGAGTTTAAAGCGAATAGTAGGGCTGGAAAATCCACCTGAAAACAATGAAAATAGATTAACCAGGTTTTAAAAGGCATCTAACTCGTATTTAGAAGCATTAATTCTGGTAATATCTTAAGTTAATTGTTACGATAAGCACATTGTCACAATAACAAGTAATTTTACAATTAAAAGTTTGACGAGTATATGTTTAGGTTAAAGAGCTTTTAAAAATTAAAGACAAACTTTATAAAAGTCATAAATCCCCCTCTTCCCCCCCCCCACTTTTTTTTCCCCCCTCTCCCCCTCAAAAAAAAAAAAACTCCTCCCCCTTTTTTTTTCATAAATACTTTTTTTTTTTCCCCCCCTTTTTTTTTTTCCCCTTTCCTCCCCCCAAAAAAAAAACCCCCTTGACTCGATGATATGTTGACGTTGAGTCATCGGGAAATACGGATTATTTTTCCGACCCAAATGTCGGCCCAATAGAATTGCACCATGAGACGAAATGTACAGTTAACAAATAAGAATTTCATAATGAATAAAACAACTACTTAATACTTTTCTTGAAGCAACTACCAGAGAAAATTTTCAAAAAATTATCGTGTAGTACAATCACATGTAGGATGCTAAAAATAATTAAATTTCGTGTGGACAAGCCCAATTTTTTCTTTTTTTCCCCCCCCCCCCCCCCCCCTTAAACTAAAAATACTGATATCCCGATGAATCATAAGTCATTACTCAGGCTTATTCAATTTATAAAACTCAAGAACTTGAGCGGGTAACGAATTTCGGTCCTTAGATTTTGCAGAGTATTTAAAAAATGATGATAAAATTTACCTGATCACACTGCACCGACAGTTGTCTCGCTAAGTTGTAAGCGCACACGCATGTGTCCTGCAAGGCTGGCGTTTCCTTCCACGGGCACTGTCCTTGCCCTCGTGCACCAAGTGTGACGAACAATACCGTTACTGTCCATACTTTAATACGCAGGCTAATGCGTTTATCCTGAAAGCAAGGAAAGGAACTATTAAACATTTGATTTCGTTGAATTGTAATTACCTTATTTCCTTAATAAAACAGTGTTCTTATGCTTATTAATGAATATGTTTATATTCCGTTTAAAAATACATATTTAACACAGTACTATAATACATAAACCCACAGATTCTTATTATTTTAATTTTAATTTTGTCTTTGATTTTATTAATCAGTTTCATCTTTAATATTTACTTTCATTTAACTTCTGTAACCTAGGGTTATCACTTATCACAATTCTACCGAGACGATGTTTGTCTAGCGTAATAATGAATTGTATGGTGCATATAATGAGCTGCAATCAAGCGATGCATAGACCGTTGGAGAGAAGTGTATCGTAGGTTAAGCAGCCCGGAAAACTGGCTTTCCCTCACCGTAATGCTAGGTACGTGTCGGGTGCTCATCGGACCATATGAACAATTTAATACTATTTTATATAATTACGTCAATTAAAGAAAATTTAACAAGGAATACAAAATATATGTTTACTTTTACGTTATGATACTGTGTAGTAGTTTGTTTTTGAAAAATCTGTGGCTTCTGGCTTTTTATGTGCACAAAGAAATCGATCGTGGAAACAATAAGTTTGATTCAGTATCAAGTTAAATTCTGTTAATAGAAACGTTCTTAGTTTAAACTAGTTTATTCATTTTAGGTAAGACGTATTTTTTTTTCTGTATAATACCAGAAATAGCTACTACAGGCCTTTCAGGAAACTTAATAATAATAAATAATACAGTGGCGCTACAATCTTTTCTTGGCCTCAGTTTATTTGATCGCTTTATTTCATAGACGTAAGTAGGTAAGCTTAGATTTTTGGATATGAGATTTTTTGCCGGTTTCCTCACAATTCCTTCCGTAAGACGTAAGTAGATGCGCAAATAGACAGAAAGTCCATTGGTGCACAGCCGGTGATCGAACCTACGACCTCAGGGATGAGCGTCGCACGAAGTCAATCAGCCAACACTGATTCTCTTCAGGAACCTTATATTAATTTCATTTAGTTTGTATTGTTTTACGTTTATCCATACCTCACTCCTATTTCTATTGAAAACAAGTTTAGGAATTTATTATTACAAATTAAATTAAATACATTATTACCATTACTTGAATAGAAAAAATTAGGGCGAGAATATCTCATCGTAATTTCTAGCGGCTTCTTATGTATATTATTTGGTAGTAATTACCAATTGTTTAACATAATTAATGTGAAAGTTTAATTACTACATTATACATTTCTTTGGCCTCATAGTATAACTGCTTGTGACCGTAACACTAGCCCATTTCGACGAGTTAGCATTTCGCTGTTAACGGTAAACGCAAGCCGACAAGATGTTTAGGTGACCGAATCACTTTCGCGTGGCCTTTGGTTTCAAACCAGTTTGTGTTAAGATTTTCTTCTTAATAGCACATTATACGAAAGTCTTGGAAACGTTTTTAAATAATGTAGTGGCGTAAAATCTAATGGTGTTACAAGCCTCAGATTTGATATATCAATTGCGTCGTTTCCAATAAAATAAAATAAAAATAAAATATGTATGTTTATTATGGAACATAAGATACAGGTATCACTTATTCCACGTCATTTAATTATTAATCCCTACTGATCGGCAAAGAAGACAGAGGGTGTAGGCCGTGAGAAAAAGCCGGCGTAAAAAACTCTCGGTACTCTTTTAAAATAGCAAATCATCAAACAACACTTATTTTACAACAAATATCGCAAATTAATGAGAAGTAGCCTGTCTAGCACTGGTCCCAGGCTCTTTTATCAACTAGAATATCGTTAACTTCATAGTAAGCCTTTTTACAATAGATTAAGAAATAACACAATATATTTTGAATCTTACCCTAATTCTTATAAAAGTGTGTAAAGTTAGTAGGAACCTATCGGTTTTCTGTAAAGTAAAAAATCCTTTTAATTCCGTAGTCAAGTTGTACATAACTTTAGGGCACTTCGGAAAATACACATGATTGTTTAATACGTGTTTTATAAATCGCTTGTTGTTGACATTAAAGTAACGATGTTTGTAAAGTGAAATCGATAAGCAGTACTTTTATATTAACTTAAAATTCAAAATGCTGTAACTTTAATAAAAATATTTTTTCTTTTTTAATTATGTGGTTGAACCTTATTAATTTTACGAACGAATGCGGTTTGAGCTAAAATAAATTTAATTAATTGCACTTTTACTATTAAAATCCAAGAATGCAGTTAATATATATAAAACAAATATTAAAAGAACTACGTATCTTTAAGTAATAAATATGGATGATATAAATTTTTCTGTACTATTAATAAAATCAGTGGCGCTACAACCCTTGGTTTTGCCTTGGATTTCTGTCTCATTATACAAGCAAGTATAATATATATATAGAATCTAACGTCCCCCCCCCCCTCCCCGCAAAAAAAAAAAAAATTTTTTTTTCTTCCTTTTTTTTTTTTTTTTTTTTTTTTTTTCTTTTTTTCCCCCCCCCCCTCCCTTTCTAAATTTTTTTTTTTTCTTTTTTTTTTTTTTTTTTTTTTTTTTGTGGTTTTCAGGGTCCCCTAACGTTTCCGCGTGTAGTCCGAATGAAGATAAATCCTCATAAAAGTAAAACAGCAATAAAAAAATAAAGGACCTTTGTTTTTTTTTATAAAAATATAAAAACCCCCCCCCCCCCCCCACAAAAACCCCCCCCCCCTTGGTTTTTTTTTTTTTTTTTTTTTTTTTTTTTTTTTTTTTGTCCGGAGAACTAAACATGAAGACCATTTTCCTTTTATATATATAGAATATAACGTCGCTGTAGAATGATAACCTCGTATGTCCGGAGAACCAAACATTACAGGAAACGAAAAAACTGTTTCATTTTGTCAATGTTCGTTGAAATATTATTATGTAATTTTGTACATAGTTTTGGATGGTTAAAAGGACTTATTTGTAATAAATAAATAAGTCCTCACTTCATGAATATACCAGTTAAATGATAAGAGTCTAAGAATAAAAAATAAATGGTTTTTTGACATACGAGGTCATCATTCTACAGTGATGATAAGTAGATATATATATCTTCTATGCCTGACAGACGCCGACTTTTTGGGTCTAAAGCCTGCCAGATTCCTCATGATATTTTCCTACACCGTACGAGAAAGTGTAAAATCCTCAGGGACATGGGATGAGACTTGCACATTGAAGCCATTAGAACTGCTTATTTCTGTCTGTATTACTGCACAGTTCGGTTTAAGGAGTCACAATTTACCAGAGAGAGTACCTTAATTATTCTACGTATATTATAATATTAGCGGCGTACATTCATTTTTTAAATATTTTTGTAGATATTTTCTTTTATAGTGTGGAACATTTTTTTGTTCTATCCTCAATCGTTTTCGCAGCGCATGTGATGAAATATATTTTATAGGCATTTTTTTACACCTTGGGTAGCATTATTTGTTATGTATATTAATTATTATAGCAATTTAAATAGCCTATATTAATCAGTATAATGTAGCATTCAAATGGTGTAAGAATTTTTAAAATCGGTCCAGTACTTTTTGAGCCAATTCGTTACAAACATACTTACATACAAATATTTCCTCTTTATAATATTAATATAGGTTTTAAAAGTTATTACCGTCTTTGCAAATTAGATTTTTCTTTTAATTTTCAATGTTTTCAAAGCTTTGAGTCACGTTTCAAGATCTCTTGAGTAATCGGCTTATAACTTTTAATTGGTTCCTTTTATCACGGATTGTAAAGTTCATCTTTCGATATTTTTAGAAAATTCCGTTTTCTTAGTATACTGGCCATTAATAATGATTTGTGATTATTTTTGAAAAAAAAAAGATGATCAGGTGTTCATTGGGAAAATATAATAACTTCGATAGCACTTCAGTGGAAGTCTGGATTAATAAAAATATTTCATTCTCCATAATATGTTTTACAATTAAGATACAAATTAATATAGTAGTTTTGTGATTAATCGACTTCAAAAAATTTTGCCCTCTTTTAAGAATGCTCCTATAGCTTTGTTTCCGGTGGATAGTTTTCGTAATTATAAATGAAATGTGAAAGATCTGAAACTAGCGCCGCGTTATAGTTTATCACAACATACGTTATTCAAAGTAGTTCGAATTCACGCCGAGAGATGGTGCTGGCTGTACAATAAATCGCAGTAGCGTTGTACTGTGTATCGTATTTGATAAAGCTTGAATAGCATTTGTACAATTTATCCTTTCCCAGGACCAAACGGGGGATGATGATCGGTTTAATCACGCGTCTGCGTGACGTCCGTCACCGAATGTTACGCTTTAACGGGCTAAAAACCTTCTGACCCCATTTTTAAACCCTTTTATTTAACCTAAGAATAAAGATTAGCATATAAGTATGTACTATGTATAACGAAAATTATGTAGAATTTATATTTTATTGTATTAATGACATATCAATTATCAGTTATCACAATCACATAGTGTTTTTACTTTTTAGTTTTTACATTTTATTATTTATTATGATGTAAATAACTAAATAGTATTTAACTTTTACTAAATACATTTCAAATAGTTCAATTTTATGAATGTTATTTAAATTAACGAATTGCTGGAAGATTTTGATTTCTGGGCTTTATTATAAAGCCTTTATATCAATTATAAACCATCACATGGTCCAAAAAAAAGGTTGTCACCTTTTTTTTTAAAACACGCAAAATGACCAACTCCTGTGGTATGGGACTTCAGTGTTCACACTGTTTAAATTAAAATCTACAGATAATAAATAAAACAAGTCGTTAAAGTTCATATGAATGGGAACACTAAACCGTAGCTGTAGTTTACGTTGCTGACAACGTGACTCGAATAGATTTTATCGTATCGCTAAACAATACGTTTTGCTTTGTATTTTCTTTGTCGATCTTGATTAGAGCCACAATACGACATTCAACAAAGGATTTCGTGTTTATATGGATTAGTACGTGAAAATATCCATACATATTGAGCATAGATATTTAGAAAAACTATGCTTATAGCAAATGGCAATATATTTTTGTGTATGGTGTCTTTTAATTTCTTTACCAATAAATAAGATGTAATTTGTGCGAAACTATATTGTGCTGTTTATTTAGAAACGAATTTTAATGCATATACATCGTCACAGCGTTTTCTACATACAATATTCGTCACTTTATTTAAATAAGTATATCATATCATTTATATCTCATTTTTGACGTGAAAGTTCTTTAGGCGCATGAGGGTAATTTTTTTAAAAAACGTCACGAAGATATGCAGCGTCTTTGTCGAAGAAAAGGGAGAGAGCGATTGGGACCGATTGAGAGGGAGTGAGAAGGGTGAATTACCTTATAGAAATTCTATTTTTAAAATTAAAATTTCGTAAAGAGAATTTATGAAATATTATTATTTTATATTTTATTCAAAATAATTTATTGAAATCTCAAATGACGAATTGTAAATTAAAATGCCACCTGTTTTTATTATCGAAGAAATAAATTAAAAAAAAAATAATTTGTATTAACTTTCGACACCTTTAATATTTTAATGACAATTAAATTCCTTACATATCTTCCTTTTTCCCTCCCTCTAAGTCACGGGAATTTTGTATAAATATGAACAAGAGTTCATAATTAGTTTTCCAAAGAAGTTTCACTTCTGACATGTGTACTTTGCACGCACTTTTTTTTCATATCAAAATGAATACGCGGAAGTTAAAACCTTATTCCCAATATAATGCGGGGTTCAAAGAACGGTCCAAAGACATATAGACATCAGAAGATTACGGTAGTGAGGCGTGAGGAATTTAAGAAATATCCGTGATTTGTTCTGGATTGTCAGCGGTAGCGATTTCTAACCGTGAATTTATCCCGTTAGGGGGCGCTGACGCGTGTGGACTTGCAACATCTATTTTATTTTTATCGTAATTGTATTGCTGAAAACGTATATCCAATATTAAAATTAGTAGAATAATAAAAATAGGAAATTCTCAACATCGAATCGTTTGGAGGCTGTATTTCTCTTTATGCTGAAGAAAAACTTGCTCAGTAAAGGAATGCATGTGTATGAAAATACAATATTTGTAAAATAAAAAATAAAATAAAATATGTTTATTATGGAAAATAATTATCACTTATTCCACTCATTAAATTTGAATTTGTAGATTCCTACTCATCCAAAGAAGAAGAGGGTGTAGCCGAGAAAAAGCCGCGTAAAAAATCTCGGTACTCTTTTAAAATCAAAATCAAAAACATTATTTAAAAACAAATTCAAATTAATTAGAAGTAGCCTGTCTAGCACTAGTCCCAGGCCCTTTTATCAACTAGAGACTTGAGACATAGTGATACTTATGAATTGGCTTTCGTATTGTTTGTTTGGTTCGTGTCTGGTTCAGTGAGAAAGGAGCATACTAAGAGAGAATTTTTGGAAATTCAACCGCTAAGACGATAATTAGTGCACTCCTAAAGGTTGTATACGTTGTATGTATGTATGTGTATTTTTTATGTATGTTCAAGTTTCTGTTGATTAAATACTCTTCGGTGTGTTTGGAGTCGGTGTCTTTGAAAAAAAGCAAGAGAAGCCATAATCAATAGCTTAGTACTTTTCAATGGTGATATCAAAATTAATTACCAACATTAAAACTTATATAAAAATTAATCTTACATTTAAATTAATTATATTTAAATGATCTTGTGTAATGTTTAAATTAATTATATTTTAATGAAAGTGAAATGTGCTTATCTTTTTCAATGTTTCTAATGCAAATTATAACTTTCTTTTATTAAGAAAATTATATTAATTAAAACACATCTCAGACATTTATCTTTATCAACGGACAATTAAAAAAGGTAATATATTTGTGATATTGCTGGAATTTGATATTTGAGAGTTTGTTTAGGCTTCGGAGTAAGTATGTTTGTCATTAAATTCCTCGGAAATTATAAATCCCGATAATCCTGGAAATTTATCAAAGATGGAGTATATAATATATACAAAAAGGATCAAACATTTACGAAACTTAGAAAGGAAAAAATCAATATGTATTTGTTCTAGCTGACGGCTATTTAAATTTTGAATATACATATTTCTATTATATAAATACTTATTGGTTATGTAATACTAATTTGGTATTGTAATTCCTCAGGCGCATGCCATAAATTTTTAACTAAATTGGACTCGACTTATAAATTAAAGATAGGCAAGTAGGGCTACCACGTTCAGTAACATCGTATTTCAGTTGTAGTACCACGCAATTTAGTTTGTACAGTTTGTTCAGGATATTGTAAGAATCGGATTTGGATGCTTTGAGTGCCAATGCCAGCTAATTAACTAATGAGTTAGAGAAGCGGGCCTGTCCGGAAAAAAAGTTGTGGTATAATTATTTGTAATTATAGTAAATCCAATTGGGATCCGGATAAACATAATTATCTCCGGATAAGCATTAATTTATTATTCAAAATATTAATTACGACAAATTTTGTAATGTTTTTGTAAAGTGTAATTGTTATAAACAAGTATTTCCGGTGGTCAAATATTTCGTTATTGGCGGATTAGTATTGGTGCTTGATTATCGGTAATTATCAGAATAACGCTTAGGTTTTAAGAAACTACTCGTTAGGGTTACTAGTCGTAATTCGGAATACATTTGACAGTTCTTCATTAAATCTACAAGTGTTAACGGTTGGTCATCATCATCATTATTAATGGCTATACAGCCCCTTGTTGGCCTTAGCGTCCCCAAGTTTACCACCACACCACCACCACGATTTATTTCGAGGTCCTTGAGAACTCCATCCCACGAACGCAGCCTGGGTCTACCGCGTTTCCTCTTGCCACCAGTTTGTGACTACAGTAAGGAACTTGGGGTTTAAGATTGATATTGAACATAATATTGGTGGTGAGAAAATTGAAATTTAACCATGACTATATTATCAAGGAATTACAGTACAAGCTCATTTTTAAATCACTTAAAAAACCAATGGAGTTTATCAATTCGACCTATGATACTTTATTTTCCATAAATTTCAAGATGAAATTATGTTTATAACATTGTCAAAGTCCTTTGAATTCAATGATTTTAAAACTAATTCAGTTAAACTTTATATAGGTTTGTAATATTTCCGGTAATTTGAACAGTATTTTTTGTTGGCAACCCTTTTACTAATCAACCGTTAATCGACAGGTCTGATCGTGATGCTATTTATTAATTCCTGTTGTACATTACAAAATATCCCGTTATTGCCTACATTGATTTGCAATAGCCGACTCGACAAACCTTAAAACTAAACTGCCTTATGGTCTTGACATACATGCTTGGCACTAAATCTCAACTCCTCAATCTTACCTTAGTCTAGTCTAAAGGGACTTTGTTCAGATAAAACTGTTCACTATATTATATATTATAAGTTCTTCACAATATTCATACTACTATAATTATACCAAAAACAAAAGACGGGTGACTAGGCCGGCAAGCTACATTCCCTTGCCTTTGAGAGAGCGCACTTATTTAACAACTTGCCTGTGTCAGTTTGTCGCGCTTTTTGACTAATAATAAATTATAGATTTGTGTTGTGTTAAATTGTTATTTGTTGAAGTGTCAAATCTTGTGCTAGGGGTTTTAGACTGAAATGCTGTTAGAATACGGGCCTAATCCAACAAATGAGGTAGTCCTAACCTCAACTGGCAAAATGCAATTGAAAAAAAACGGGCCTTACAATCGGTGGACTTCCTTCACATTCACACGTCTTAAATAGCTTACGTCTAGAAAAATATGGAATAATTTTTTTTAAACATTTTCACTTATAAAAATCATCACAGTACAAACTATAAAGCTATCGGCTAGAGCAATGTTTGCTTCTGTAATCGGCGGTATAGCTCTAGTGAAAATGATGAAACTTAACTAAAACTATACTAAGTACTAATAAAAATAAAAATAAATTTCGTTAATATTTTAATTTCTAAGTGTTAAAAAATAGAAAAATTTTGGGCCAAAAAATAGATTTAATCTACAGTATAGCACTCAGTAACATTGTCTATGATACACCGCCGATAAGATTATCTAAAAAAACAATTAATAAAGCTATATATCGATAAAAAATAAAAAACGAACATTGCCCTGGCTGATGCGATAAAAAAATTACTAATTATAATTATCTCTCTCTCTCTCTATTTACATTTTTTTTTTCTATGTATAATTTTTTTTTGTGTCGTGTTACTGTTAGTAGTCGGTGCAATAAGTTTAATTATGGGTAGGTTTTAAAGTTGTATCAGAAATGAAGATTCTATAACCATATTGTTTTGAATCGTAAATTTGATATTATTTACATAACAGCCCTGCGACTCTGTAACTCACTTTTCGAACTCACTGAGCGGTTTATTTATTGTTAAGTTTATTGTTTATCAGAATGCCAAATCAAAAAATGACTGCTTCACGACTGATTTGAGAGCGACCGCCGATGCGAAAACCGCTGTGTGAGTTCGAAAAGTGAGTTACAGAATCGTAGGGCAGAACGTTTGTTGCTTAACAACCGAGCTGTTTCTCGGTGAGGGTGATTAACTCATACTAAACACGGCTATACATTGATGTGGTGGCTATTTCGTGACTTCTACTTAACTTTAAAGATAGTGATCGCGGGAATTAACTGTATTTTACTATATAGAGTAGGCGACATATAAAAAATAATTGGCACGTTGAATAAAAGTTATGACTATGCAAATAATGTAGCAGTTTGTGTTAGTTAACTAAGGTCAAAGTTTAAGTTTGTTTCTAGGTTATATAAGTTGTTGGAATACACTCTTCATTTTCCGGTTTTTATTGTGTTGTATGAACCTTTCAAACCATTTCAAATTTAATGGGACTGAGGGTTTTTTAATTTAGTTGGTGTCTTAGGTTAGAATAGAATTCTTTAACATTCGCTCGAACGGTGAAGGAAAACATCGTGAGGAAACCGACATGTCTTAGATCCAAAAAGTCGACAGCGACAGATTGAAAAATGATCATGAAAAAGATTCAGATATCTGATGCCCAGACCTAAAGAAGTTGTAGCGCTACTGATTTATTTTTGTTTTTTTTAATTTTTTTTTATATAATATGTTATGAAAGATGAAAACTCCGCTTCTTAAAGACTTGGTGAATATTCAGTACCAGATGTAAATTACCGAAAATCAGGAAATGTGATTGTTAAAGTAAATTGAATCTTACAAGTAGAATGAGCGCGCATTCTGTTTGTAAAAGCGATGCGTGTAAAAACTCTGATATGCGCTGATGCGTTTATGATGGAGTAGCAAATTCTCGTATTTGCCCCCAGTATGCATGATATATCCTACTAATATTATAAACGCGAAAGTTTGTAAGTATGGATGGATGTTTGTTACCCTATCACGTAAAACTACTGAATGGATTTTATTGAAACTTTACAATAATATAGTTTATACATCAGAATAACACATAGGCAACAATTTATAAAGATATTGTGTGAATTGTCCAAAATATCAAGTAAGTAGGAAAAAATCTACCATCTGCGAGCTATTGTGGAATGCGCTGCCAAAACCGCTAGAGTTACACATATGTAATGTACGATGAAAATGTTTATCCTTAAATAGTCTAGACTCTAAGTTTTACCCTAAGTAATTCTAAAGAAATTTCCCAGCTTTTACACTCGGGCAGTGCTCATCTGACCTCGATAGCGAAGAGTGCGTGACAAATTGTACTTACATTTTTAGATTACCTACAATATTTGTCTTTTTGTAATAAAATACCGTTCGACACATATTCACTTCCTAGATTACGCAGTTTGATATTTCATGTACATATTTATTTATTTAATATTATATGTATCAAAGCAGTAACATATTTAAGGTATAGAATTTAAATTCAGAGGAGTTGTTCGGATTACTACCGGCAGCTGAGGTTCATCATCGGACGTCGAGGCAGAATACGTAATTCCTCCCGTATCACCTGACATCCGTTGTTCCACAACTGATCGTTTTTAAGGCAATTTTTGCCGCGCACCACTACTTTGTGGGACAAATAATCAGGAATTAGAAAGTGATCTTTTGGATTTTTAAATTGTCTTTTCAGACATAGGAATGCGGTAAACTTTGAGTAACCTACTTACATACCACATTTGGAATGACTGGTGACTCAAGGTGAAAAGGTGCCCCGAGTCTATTCTTTGAGAATTTCACTATTAACGCGGAGACATCTGCTTAAAAGGTGTTTATGAATATGTAAGATGTTGGGACTATAAAGCGTACACTTGATTGCTTTGTCTTTATCATGAAGACATGTTTATACAGGGTGGCCAAAAAGTCGTGGATCAAACGCAAATAGGGGATAGTGAGGTATCAGCTCAAAAAATTGTTCAACAGGAGGTCTCTACTCAACCCCTGCAGAGTTTAATTTTTTTGCGTTTTATAAGAAAATTGACTTTTTTTACTTATTCTTATTAAAATTCGAAAAAATCTACATTCTGTATCTTTTTCATAATATCCACTAGAATGGTACTGATGAGTTCTTGCGTTAGACATACTATTTATAGTTGTTTATTGAGTGTATTGAAGATATTATTAAGTTATACGATATAACATTTTTTCAAATCATAACTTTTTGTTTACTTCGGACCCCACTGTGAAAAAAAATTACTCAACCGAAAAGTGACCCTGTATTACAAGTTTTGGCGATGAGGATTCTGAAAAGTATTCACATGGCCAGAGTCGCTCTAATATGAAAACAATAGAATATCACTATCACTGAAATGATGTAAAATAGTATAAAATTGTGAAAAGAACCTTATTAGTTACTTTAGCGTTTTTGTATTACTTCACCTGTAATAACGTTATTTTAATAAAATTTGGAAATATTCCTCAAATTATCGAAAATTAAATATTTTAAAAACTTGCGGACTTATATAAGTAGTCGATTTCTATAGAGCATTTAGTAGCACTCGCGTGACAGATGGATCAAAAAGACCCTTACTTGGAATGGCCCAGTGGGGCCTGGGTAGATGGAATAAAAGGTAAAGCGGGGTAGGATTTGAAAATGGTGGCGAGGAGAAAGCCTTCACTCCGTCGGAGGTCGTGTAATAATGTTGACCATAATGACATGGACTTAATGTAATCCTGATAATGTAGTACTCGAAAAAATATTTTTTTTTATTATAATATCACTCGCGTAATCCAAAGACAATAAATATTATGTAATCAATTATGAATAAAAATTATTTATATGAGGCAAGTATTAAACTTCCGTAACACACGTAACCAGACTTGGACCTGTCTAGCTATTGTATGTAAATCGATTTCTAATCGCCGATGCAAATGACTAAAATGATGTCACATTTCACTTCTCATGAGAGGCGCATCAGTAGAAAATAACTTTCGTTCATGCACATGTTATACGATTTTCGAAAACATAACTTTCAAGTGATTTGTCGAGTTCCGTGATATCATCGAGGGGAAACTGGGGAAACCGGCATGTCTTAAACTCAAAAAGTCGAGTCAGGCACAATACATAAAAAAAGATTAAGAAACAGAAACATAAATCTGAGGCCCAGACCCAAAAGGTATTGCATTTGATTCGGTTAGCTGAGCTTGCAAACGTTTATGTAAGCAACGAGTGTAAGGCATTACTATTATTCTATATAAATATATTATAATATACTTACAACTAAAGTCGATACTTCGTGCTAAGTATGACTTCTTGAGTATATAATATGCAATAAAGCGGGCCATAGACGGACCGCATGTTGCAGTCAAGACCGACTGCAACATGCGGTTTCCTCAGGAACTAACTGCTCGAGCGGTCCGTGTATTGCGAATATGAATTTAGTATGGAAACTGCAGATCGCGGTGCGGCGACCGCATGTTGCAGTCGGTCTTGACTGCAACATGCGGTCCTTCTATGGCCCGCTTAAGTCTTAACTAACTTTGATAGATTGTAACTTATTTCAATGGTTTTATAAAAAAACCTAGCCACATATAATAGTGTACTTGAATTCCGTTGCTGTGCGCTAAATTACTAAAAAATGCAACGCAGCATAGTTTAGCGAAGACCAGTGTTTATGAAATATGTTTTTAAAAATTACTTACCGTGTTTCGTTAACAATTTCCTAGTAATTTCTTCCTAAAACCTAACATTTATGTTTCTTAAGTGAATAATTCAAATTTTAATATTTAAAATTATGTATGTTTATTGGTTGGGAGACACATTGGTCCTTTACAAACGCTACATCCTGCTTTTGTGATCTTAATTAACTTACGACGAGATTTTATTAGACGTATAAAGGTATCACCTTATGGCCTATTAAAAGCTATATTAGCCCTTTAAATGCACCAAAGACGAATTGGTCCGGTTGAACCATTAATCTTACAGTGGCTAGTGGGTGTGAACATCTGAGGAAGATAAATGAAGTCTATACTTTCTTCCTACGTCTCAAATTAGTATCGTAGAGATCTCTATAAGTTCCTTTAGACGCCGTGTAGTAAAAATGTGCACGTGCGTAATTGGGTTACATGTTGGTTTCAATCTAAGCTTAACAACATTCACTTACATGAGAAAATATACTAATACAACTATACATTACGCTTATTAATAAAAAGTACAACAGCAGGCTAGAAACAGAAGAATAATTAGATAAAATTCGTTCTAATCTTAAATATTTATAATAAACAATTAATTTTTATATATTGACCAAGTTCAGATAAGTCGATTCTTTCAAACATTTTTAATTGTAAAGTAAATTTGATTATATTAAATGCTGATTTGTTATATTTAATTGGTCAGTTATTTAATCAAGAAATTGGTTGTTGTTTAAAACTCAATTAACTTAAATTAACGATGTATTTATATAATATTTTTATTCACGTATCCGTATCAACTCGACAATGTTCCTAATGAAGAAATAGTGGTTTCGTTATACGTCGCGTGCGCATATACTAATGAACGGAAATCGTCTTTACACGATTGTTTCTATAGATGTTTGTATTCGACAAAGAGAAAATATTTGAGCAGTTTTGTATTGCTATATTTGGCCAAAGAAGTACATTTTAAACGTGTTAAAGTTACATGGCAATATCGTTTCCATTTTGTTGCCATGGTAACCAAAACGCTGATCTTTATGGAAGGTAGAGGGATTATTCTTAAACGTATAGTATAATAGCCAACAAATGTTATGTTATTCAAAGTATTCAAGAAGGTAGAGCCATATCGTCAAGAATCTCCAGATTAACCTATACTGTGTACCCTAAGCCACTAAGGAGGCGAAGACTAGGTACAACTGGTATAGTCGCAAAATTCCTAATTTCTATGCGAAGAGCAGTAATGTCAGTTACAAAAGATTTTTTATACTACCCTCATTTAAAACAAAAGAAAACGGTGAACTAATTTAGAGTGATTAGCTTGAAAATGTGTTATACGTCTATTCGTTGTTAACAGTTAGATGAAGCATTGTCTTTTATAGGGAAGTGAAATTTGCAAAAAACTACACTTGACAATGAGAACACATTATAGACTTTTTGCTTTAATATTCAGATGTCAAAATGCATGATGTGATTGATAGATTCTATTCCACCTAAAAGAAAGTTTTGTTTCTATATTTCTTTAGAAAATAGATCGTTAAAATATCCGTAACTCTTAAGTTGACAGCATGATATGAATGTCAAATTAAAAAAAAAACAAGTCAAAAAGACTAGATTTTGTGTCTTAGAAATATATATTTCAAGCAAAATAAAATAATATATTTGATAACATAGAATAGAAAGTTATCAAAATATAATTTATTTAATAATACATTAACTTTTCTTATGGTAAATTAATATCATTTGTTTTATTATTAAATTATTTATTTAAATAATTATATTTAATTCTCGATATTGCTACACAATATATGGAAAGTCAAAAGCTCCAGAAGACAGTTCTCGACATTAGGAGTCTGGGATACGTGTTTGTTATGTAACCTGTTTTTGGCAATAAATCAAATTAATATTATGCACAATTAAGTACAGAAGTTATTAAGCATTGGCGTATAGCTTCTAAAAGTTCAATTTTAAATATATTTATTTGGCTTCTGGTTTTACCAATAAACAATTAAAAACTTTGCGTGCGGAATGTCATTAAAACTGTGTGTGTTACTATACTGTAACCGGATATTTTGCGATATTTGTGAATAATATATAAAACTGTCAATTAAAAAAAAACTTAACCCTTATATTATTGCAATATAATTGAATTAAATTATACTAATTAATTAAAAAATATAATCAATAATAGTCTCCAAGTAATAATTAAAAAAGTTACCATTTTATCGAACTCCAGAAAATTGTCACTGATTAATCACTGTGTTCACACACTACTATATTTCTACTTATCACCGTTTTGTCATTATTTGCACATTGTATCACTTAACGAGTTCGATAGCGGTACTATGTATTCGCTAGCTCCATGACGTGCACGCTGTGTCCGTTTGCGGGTAACTCTGCGTACGCACAGCTTTCCCCACCAAAGATCTGACCCGATACCTCGTCCACCTCCGGTAAACAAACGGTTCACCGACCGATTAGAAGCTAGGGATCTTAAAGAAACTCTTCTAACGTATCTCCTCGGAATGTCAGTGAATTAGTAATTCACTTCAATAACGGTTTAAGATGCGTTGGCGCATATCTGGGTCGCGCCATAACAAGAGAATTTTAAATCACTGAGGTGCATATAAGGTGCATCCAATGTTTATGTTGAACTTTCAGTTGCAATAAATTTCATTTTGTAATTACACGATTTGCATACGAAAGAGAAATTTCCCCAAAGCTGCGGTGTATTTTTAACGCAATCTTTTGAGGTCATATATTTATTTCTTCAAATTGCCTCCGCAGTGAAAGTTATAATGATGTTGGTTTTACGTGAATGCTAGCGTGCTTGTTAATAATTGGAATGTGTCTAGTAAATTCATGCTATAAAATAAATGTTATTTGTTACAGATTGACTGATGGTTCACCGAATGCCAGAACGTGTCTTTTACATCAGAAATTGCAGCTGTTAAATTGTTGTATTAAACGAGCGCTTGAAAATTCCAATACTGGTTTGGGGAATTCCTCTGAAGAGGAATTTTTTGATTGTACAGACGACGAAGATAATGATGAACAAGTAAATGAACCCTGGAATAAACCTGCGGGGAGGTTAAGTCGTCTTGAAGATGCGACGTTGAAAAATGGAGAGCCTCTATATGTTCCGCGTACGCAGGTAAGCATATCAGCTGTTGTTTGATTGCAGGTTATTAAAGTGATTTTATAAATAAATCCGTGTCATACATTTCACGGTCATTTAATATCAACACTTACACATTTCTGGCAAAAGAGAAAGTTAATCAAAACTTTCTTTTCGTATACTAAAAAACAAATAAATTAAATAAAAAGTCTTAGTAATTCATATTTTAAAAAAACATTTACATTCCAGGATCCTGCCCCAAAAACCGAAGACCAGTTAGAAGAGGACGCGGAACTAATGGTGCGATTGGGTGATGACGCAAAAGCTTCAGAACTACGAGCGAGAATGATGAGTGCGTCGCTATTATCCGATATGGAAGCTTTTAAAGCAGCTAATCCGGGTTCAGAACTCTGTGATTTCGTCCGATGGTACTCTCCAAGGGACTGGAAGCCAGACGACGGGGGAAGTTTGGGCGATCGTATGTTATTACCTGGAAATCCATGGCTAGAAGCATGGAGCGTTGCACGGCCAGTATCTGCGGCGAGACAACGAAGATTATTTGACGAAAATCGGGAAGCTGAACAAGTTTTACATTACCTTCGTTCAAGGACTGTAGAAGCGGTAGTAGAATTGTTGCTACCGGGTATTCTAAGAGCGGGTGCAGCTAAGGCCCAAGCCGAAGGTGCTGTAAGGACGAACTCCAGCGTGGGCGGACTGGATACGCGTAGGACATGCGAAATGGCCGCTCGAGATCTCTTTGAGGCCGAGTTAGAAGTGTGTAAATCGAAGTGTGTGCGTAAAGTGTTGGGGAATAGTGCCGAAGGGGAACCACTAGATGTCGCGGGTAGAACGAGAATTTTAAATGCGATGGGAGGTTTGCTTCCAGCTCCCTCAAGGAAGGAGTTCACGTTGCGTGTTAAAGATTCTGTGGGGCCACAGGTTATGCGAGCCGCTCTCTCTAATGAGATGACAATTATCGGGGCGTTTACTGAGCGAATTGTTTGTCTATAACTTCGCGAAATTGAGTCAATTTCTAATAGTATCTCGAGTGCTTCACAGGTGGCCTAGGTCATTTTAAGGGGTTAGGTTAAGGAGTCCTTAGGGTGCATATCAATGCAAGTAACGTTTTTGTTTCAATATGCTATGAACACTCGACTGCCTAATTAATTTGTTAATTTTTTATTACGAATATTAAAATTTTCAAAAAAATATTATTTTCATAGATTTAAACGCGTTTATTACGTTCTCCGTTAATATAACAGTATTTTATTGCAATGCCTTTTAAGTACTTTCGTAGGACGCTAGATAATTGTACAGATTTTTATTGGAAATCTTAGACTAGAGTTGTTATTTACAATGTTTCAAAAGTTTATCCTATTTGACTAAATAAGGAATTGTACTATACAAATAAGGAACTTAGATCAGCGCCATCTTTATCTGTGAAGTGGATACTAACTCATCAAAATTTATTTAATCAAGAGAAAGTAAAACTAAGTTAATGTATGAATTTAAATGTGGCCAACATTTAAATATTGTTTCCGAGGTCCTTCCTATAACTTAAACCGAAAAAAGTATCTGTAAAAGTAAAGTAATTGAACTACAGCCGCACTTTAATTAAATATAAAATTGAATTTGTATTTATTTTGTTTCTGTCATGCCTTATAACATTTTTAAAATGCAATGAAGATAAGTAAATTGGTTTGTTTCCTTATAAAATTCCACTAATTTTGATGAATTTATGGTATAATTTATTACTTGCCAAAACATTCAACAACCCTTTTGCCAAGCTTTAGATATAGTAAAAAAACAAATGTTGAAGGACACTAAAACTAATATAATTTCATAATAAAATATTTGGTAATCAAAATTAAGTTTAGCTACCATTCAAGAATATCATTATAAATCAGAAATCTAAAGATAAAATTCGTGGATAATTTCTTCTCAATATGTATTATAATGAAAGTTGTAAATTGTAAATTTTATACAGTTATAAGTTAAAAATAAATGATTGAATTTGAATATTTTATTATTTCACCATATAAAAGGTAAGTATAAAAATAGTACACAAGAACAGAGTCTTCCTCGTAATAGTGTGTAAGTAGTGTAATTGGACAGTTTCTTATGTTAAATAATCGTTTTACTAAATAAGGTAAGTCTTAATTTACTTATTATTATTAAGTTAGGATCGTAATGTTAAATAATATCTGTGCAATGACAATATACATAAGAAAAGAAACACCATATATCACGGTACTCGTTTGTTAGGCAAGCTGGGAATTCCCATCGCAACATGTGGTATGTGGAACTCCACTCCAAGGGAAGATTCAGTCGAAACATATCTGTTACCTCCGTATGTCAGAAACGTATGGAATGTTGTCTAAGCTCTACAAAACCGGGAAGCTGCAGATATATGAATTGTAGGACTTAAATCGTAATAGTGGCTTGTGTCCGCATGCACTTACCGCCACAGCGGAATCAGTCTGGAGAAGATTATTTGCCGTCTAAATCCATCTAGGATAAAGCATGATGCAGCAGAGAGGATTTGAGGTTACATTTATCAGGAGATGTCCAGGTATACATATAGTATAAAGAGCGCTTTGTCATTGCTACTTAACTTTTTATCAACACGAGGAAAATGGAATGACGTGGATGCGTTGCCGTCCTTTTAGGGAAAGTATAGATATATTTATAATTTGAAGTGTTTGTGATATTAGGAACAGGAAAAACTATGCGTGTACCATGTTTAATATTATAATTATTTTGAAATATCGCATGTATGTAAAAATGTGAATATAATTATTATTACACACCGGAATTATTATTCTTCTCTAGCCTTCTGAGGTAGTAAGATAAGTATTTAGCAATTTCGCATCGTTGGTACCAAGTTTTGGTAATACAATTTATTTTTATTAGATCGTAACTGCAAATAAATTTTCGAAATAGGACACCTTAGTTACATAAATAGCTATATAAATATGTTAAACTGATATTCTTCCGGCTTTAGATGATTTATACTTTTAAAAGCACGTTTTGGTAATATTCGATGATTTTTCGAATGTCCTAGCGTTCTGTTTTCAATAAAAGCTAGAGGATGCCTGACGCATGCGCGTCACGCGTGCCGAGATGATCGGGAATCGGGATAACGCTCAGTGGCGCGCCGAATCGCCTCTTTGCACGTTCTATACGCCAAAATCATTAAAAACACCGTTTAGTAGTAATAATTGCAAATAAACCTAGTGTGTATCAATATTTGTCATATTTCAATACGTTGTTTGTGATTCGCTGGGATCAATTGTGACAAATCGGACAATTTCCAATTATGATTTTCGTGTTACTGTGAAGTAGGTACCTAGATTTATACCTAATTCGTGCTTATCAATGTGGTTTTGACTTCGAACTGAGGAAAATGGATGTCATGTCTAAAGCACACGTGAGTTTGATTTTACCATAAATTTTTTTGTTATCTACGTAAAGTTTCTATGTGAAAATTTACTAAATTCGATTCAGCTTTTTAAGACGAACACAACACTACCCGTTATACGAAATCGATTGTACAGGCAATTCTACGTCTAATGTCTTTGACCTTCCTCAGACGAATGAGAATTTCATTCTTCTCCGCCTGTTGATTTAACTTTTGGAGGTACTTTTAAAGCGTAGTTCCTCTATTCATCAATTTAGTTCCAGACATATCAAGGTCCTAAACGAGAAGTCTATCGTGATAATGTTATCGATTTTACACGTCAAAATAAACAAAATTGATGTAGAGTAAATATTATTATCAATCTGTGCGGTAAAAATGTGGCAATTTTTATAGTAGACTAGCTGACCCCGCAAACGTTGTTTTGCCATGTATATTATTTCTAGGAAATATTTTTTTAGTTCAATAAAAATAACTATCTACTTTACTAAAAAATAGGGGTTGATCGTAGAGGGGTGAAAATTTAGGGTTTTATGTATTTTTTAATGCCGCATAATAAAAAAATAAAAATGAAAATTTTATCCAAAAAATAAAAAATAATTTGTTGGGGTGGACACCCCTTATCACATAGGGGTTTGAAAGATAGATAGTATCCGATTCTCATACTTACTGAATATGCATAAAATATTTCATTAGAATCGGTCGAGCCGTTCCGGAAGAGTATGGGAACGAACATTGTGACACGAGAATTTTATATATTAGATTTATTTGACGGCAAACGTTTTGCCATTAAAGACACATACTACTAATATTGCTATTTAAAATGGGGGTTGAAAGTTGGGTAGGGGTAGGATGAAAATTGTTTATTTTTAATAATATATCATTTTTTTTAAATAGTTTTGAAAATGCTTGAAGGGCAAAAAAAGTTGGCTATTTTTTTTTTTCCCCCCAACCCCCCCCCTGTTTTAGTATCTCAATTTGACGTTAGGTACTTGATTTTTAGAAATACCTTTACCTCCATAAAACAATATTAGATTGTATCCCACTAATTGAAATGGATATGGTATTTACAAATACTGTTACTATACAATAACTAAGTTTATTTTGAGACATAGATGCCCTCTTTCCCCGATCATCTGTTAAAAATAATTCCAACAACGAAAAATAAGTCGTGATGCTCCGTGATTTTTATTTATATAGACATCGGGGAAAACGAGAAACGTTATTCGAACACATCCATATGAAAGAGATGCATATTTTATACCGTACGAGGTACCGCACACCTGAGTAAGCATACTCACAGATTCGTATAAATTATTGGAGTGGACAGCACGTATCTGGAGATCAGTGGAGCGTCACCGCCTTACCCGTGTTCATAGCCTGTTTCTGTTTTGTATTTTCATACTCAGATGAAAAACTTATACGACAAATCTTAGGGTGAAATACTTATGACGTGTGGAATAAATAGTGATAATGCGAATCTTATTGGGAAAAAACATGGCGGGCGTAAGCCAGACTAATGTCTGTATATAATGATAATGATAATTAAAAAGTAATTCAGAATTAATACATACTTTTGCTATAAAATTAGATAAACGACGAAAAATAAAATAACATTCTACAAAAAAGATTGCGTCAAACTGATTATCACATTTTATTGAACACTCTTTTGTTATAGTAAATAGGTATCATAATTCATACATTAATAAACAACTGAAAGTACTTTTAAGGAATATAATATTACATAAATATTGGTTACAATTTCTTTTACTTTACTTTTTATAACTAACAAAGTTTTTATTTTATTTATTTTTAACTATAAATATTAAACAATTGCTTATTAAATTGACAACAATAGCCTTAACTTACGCCTCACTTGGTGTATTTACTTATTCGTACACGTTCTATAAACGTCAAATAGCTATTGAATATCAATTCACTTTGACACTGAAGATAATTGAACATGATAAACGTTTGCATAATCGTGAGTTTGAATTACGGCTGGTCACCAATACATATTTCGCGTAATTCAAATGGCGGAACTGACGATGACGTGCCTGGAACCTATTCAACGGCTTGAGAACAGAAGGAGGAATGAGGATTGAGGATTTTACCTATAAAGAAAGAAAAATTGATCAACAATTAGGTACATAAATTTGGTTCCAGGAACAAATGTTATAAAGCTGCTGGTTTTTTGGTTTGAATGTTTGATTTGATTATAGTTTCTTCTTGTTCGTATGATCATTAAAATGTCCGTTGGCGAACTCATTACGAAGCATTTTTCAATAAACAAATCTATAAATGGCCAGATCTATTTAAAATATTCAGATACAGATTCATTCATATATAACAGTTTCGTTTATCATTATTTCTTCTATTTAATAGAATGACGATCATATTGTTCAAGATTACAAAAGTTATAACAACAAAAGCCTCTGGGACAAAAGACTTGATATCGAGGACGTTTCCTCTTTTATTTATTTCATACTCCACAGCTAGCATTAATTATATTTAACAAAAAACAATTATACTAAAGATATATAGTAAATGTAAATTTAGAATCAATTTATAATGTTTTCTGTTGACTTTCATA